AAAAATCTTTAAAAGCAACTTTATCGGATTTTTTGCCAGCTTTTTTAATCGTATTTAGGCTAGTTTAAAAGTATCGTTGAAAGGACCCAAATTCGGAGCATAAAGCCTGTTCGCATAGGGTGGCACAGGGGATCTGTATATATGGGGATTTCCGAGGGACCCTAATCGCCCATTATCTAACTAAATAACTGAATATCTCTATTAAATCTGAGCTGTTTCTACTCAAAAAGTCATTGAAAATTGAAATTTTGAAACTAAGGACAATTAAAATCAAAATTGAGTTTAAATGTTCGATGCGGGCTTGAGTAACTTTTCCCCCCTGCTAATTTGAGTAGTCTTCTCCTATTTTAATGCCAAAATGTTATCAGCTCTATTTAAAATGCTAAAAGTTCTGAAACTGGGGTAAGAATGTGATTCTAGTATATTTTAAAAAATTCGAGTGAAGACTAAAACCGAGGGAAATCACTTACTATACCATTACAGGCGCTTAAACTATTATCAACGCCCAAACATCCCCGCGCCGAAAAATCCGCAAAATATTTTTAAAATTAATATTTTACAGATAAAGAGGATTAAATAAAAAAGAAGAATGTTTGTGGGGGGATTTATTAAATAATAAATAAAATTTATTTATATATATGTCTTTAACATTTATTCATTAAGTAAAAAATGCCAGACGGATATACTAAAACTTGCCCGCCATTTAAAATTTCCCCTAATTTTGACATTTTTGGATGACGAAAAAATAAAATTAAGAGTTTTTTTAAGTTTTAGAAAATGTTGGGTGTAATTATGAAAAAAAAAATCATTTGGGAATTAATTAAAATAAAAATTCAAAAATTGTAAAAATAAATAAAATATTATTTCAGAATTTATTGGGGCAATATTTAGCAGATGCTGACAGCCCCCGGATATCCGGAACCGTCTCCTAGATTAATGTTGACAGCTCTGGATATCCGGAACCCTCTCCGAATTTTTTGAAATTTATTTTTAGCTTTTTCCATTTGTGTAGGAATATACTTTAAATTTAAAGAATAAAAATTGAAAATAAATTATTTCTAAATGCAAAAATAGCTCGAAAAACGGAAATTAGTAGAATGCCTGAGGATACTGAAAATGATTTTATTAACCAATATTGATGTGTACATATAAGATAATGAGATGACTATGAAAAGTTCGTTTTTTAGTTTGACCATTTTGCACCCTCAACTATTTATATTTTTTTGAAAAAGAAAAAGGATCTGTGAGCAGGGGGTGCCGAAACAGATTTTTGCGTCCTTAAGGCGAAGGAAGCAAAAATGTGGCGAAAAACACCCTTGATATGTTGTAAAAGCTAGAAAAATAAAAATTAAAAAATATTAATTCTTTATAGAAATAGAAATAAATATTCTTAATAATAAATTAATAAGTAAAAATCACAAAATAACAGCATAAATATTTTTAAAAAAATATTTAAATTAATTTCTACAAACTTTTTGAAGCCAATAAAGAAAAGTTGAAGAATAACACTAAAAAGACCACCACAACAAAAAGACATTCTCTTCAAGGCTAAAAGGAAAAAAATTTTTTTTTAATTTAAAAATAATTTTTAATAATTTTTTCTTCCCTCTCCCCAGAGAATTTTAATTAAATAAATAATAGAAAGATAAATGATTGTTTTTTAAAAAAAGCTGAGAAGAATTTAATAATTTTTAAAAAATTTATTAAAATTTAGAGGCAAAAAAGACTTTTTTTTTAATTTTTAGGTACAGGTGAATAACCCAGAGTTTTGTTTAAAATTTTAGTATAAACAGAAACATCTTGTCTAGTAGCCTAAATAAACGAAACCAAAAATAGTAAAAATTTAAGAAAATGAAAGTGCTGGGCTAGAGCTGGGCTATAGCTATTTCTCTCCTTTAGCTAGTGCAAAAGGTTAATCGGCGGCTGGGAGCGAACCAGCATCTTCAGTAGACCGGACTGATGTGTTAGCCATTACACCACGCCGCCTACTGCATACCAGGGCTGGGCGTAATAAAAAAATAAAAAGCGAAATGCGAAACTCTTCGCGCTAAAAAATGCGAGAATGCGAAACGCGAAAATGCGAAATATGCTTTACGTAATAAACTTAGATAAAGCTATTTATCGGAATTAAAAAATACAGTAAAAAATAATTTCCGGTAACAAAAATCAAAAAATTTTAAATAAGGCTTCCCTACAATTTAATTAAATAAAATTAAAGAAACCTAGCAAAAAGTTATTCAAAAATTTTGAATAAACAAATTTTGCAGGGGGGAATATTTTATATAATTAAAATAAAATATTTAATTAAGTTAATCTCTATATTTTATATAATTAAAATTAAATCTTCTTTTAAATTTATTAATAAAAAGAATTAATTAAATTTTAAAAAAAAATATTGTTTATTATAGGGAAAACTTTTTAAAAAAATCTTTTTTAAATTAAAAAAAATAATTATTATTTCCGGTATTATGTAGTTAAAAAATAAAATTAAAAATTAATTTAAACAAAATTTTATAAAATTAATTAAATAGACTGAATTTTGTAGCTAATTAACAAGTCTGCAGAAAAAAAAATTTGAAATTTTTTTTGAATTTTAAAAATAAAGAAGAGAAAAGACAGAAGGGAATTAGCATTAAAGAAATTAAATAATTTTAATTTTTTCAAAATTTCGAAAATTTTGAAATGGATCTGTATTATATCGAGTCCGTGTCCAACAGGGATTGTACTAGTCCCTCGGATATTTTTAGAGATCCAAAGAAAATTTTAAACCCCCGTGCTCACATTTTTCTCAATCCGATCCATTTCTAATCTCCTCAAAAAAATTTTTGTTTTAATTAAAGACAGAATTTAAACAGAAGTAAAGTTAAAACTAGAGACCGGACTGAGAGGAGATCTCGATCAAAAATCACACTTATCGAGATCGAAAATATTTCGAAATCGCGATTTCGATTCTCGTACGACACTCCCAGTCCGGTCTCTAATTAGAAGTTACTATATAGGATAGAACTTTGGGGTTAAAGAATGTATCTTATAGTCTGGTACCTAGGCAGCCCAGCTCGCCCAAGAAAAATAGGCAATTTAAATTTTTTATCCTTTCAAAATTTTAAAACTCCTTACCAAAACAAAAATTTCTTTAGGCAAACAACTTCCCATATAAATACTAATTTGTCTATTTACTACATCCAAATCATAATTTTTTGAAGCATTTTCTATTAATTTAATTTGAGGTTGTGGAAATTTAATAAAGCCTGGAGATAGAGGAATTATTTGTTGAATAAAATTAAATTTTGTTCCATCAGGTAATAAAGTGAAAAAACCCTTTAAAAATGAAAAATTAGAAAAGAAAAAGTTTTTTGGAAAGGATTTTAGAGAACTAAAGTTATGGGAGAAACAAACACCTTTTTAAGTAATTCAGACCAAGGCACGTAAAATAGATGGTCAAAGGACCATGTCAACTAAGCTCAAGGTAATGGTTAGCCTTAATACAGTCTTATAATACCGGTACTTGTGGTTATTTAACAGGCCAACCACGTTCTTATGGACTGGCCCAGAACCGTCCTCCATTGAAAGAAAAAATTTTACGAAACCTCAATCAGTAGCAGACATGCACGAAACGTTTCGTTTCGTTTCGTTGTTTCGTTAGTTTCGTTATGTTTTTTCCTGTTTCGTCTCGTTTCGTGACGAAACACTTTTTAGTTTGTTTCGTTTCGTTTTGTTAGCGAAACACCTGTGTTTCGTTAACGAAACATTACCCATTTTTTAGACCAAAATATTACCCAAAAACTGAAAAATTTTCCCCTTTGATGCTCAAAATTCAAAAAATTTTTGCCTGCGGCGCTGAAATCTGGATTTTAAGCGCCTATGGCGCATAATTTACCATATTTTTTTTGAATTTCTCGTTTGATTTTGTTTTTTTAATATGATCTACCTCTTAATGCCATTCAGGGCAGGCGCAAGAGTTTCAATAAAGTTTAGTTTCAATAAACGAAAACGCAACTGATGGCAATGATCATGAATATGGTTGTCTTTTTTCGGGCCTGTTTCTATCGAGTCGGGCCAGACCAGTCTTTTCGGGCCAAATATCTTAAGCCCGACTCTATCTTTTGGTCCGAGTCGGTCCATTTTGGCAACCCTAATCATGGGCGTTGTTATTAACAAAAATATCTGAGTTGAGAAATATCATTGGATTTGGCGGGAGCAATGGTGGTATAGGAAATTGGGAGAGAGTAAACGATGTATCGGTGGATTTGGAGGGTTTAAATTTTTTTAAAAATGTCGGGAACCAGGAACGGTTTTAGGGGACAATAATTTCCGACAAAATTAATTCCCGATTTTAGGGAATCAGGAAACGGGTCGGCAGGTCCCTGATATACACATATTCTCAACACATAATTCGATTAAAGTCGATTTGGTGGAATTAAGGCTGATATAGTGGATTATGAGTAGCCTGGGACCAAAATTTAAGGTCCACTAAGCTATTAGATCAATTATAGGCCATATTAACGTGTTTAAAATCGAATAATTAAGAAAATAAAACCGTTTTTATTAGATTTTTTGAAAATTAAAATGTTTCGTTTTGTTTCGTTTCGTTTCGCTAAATTTTTACTGTTTCGTCTCGTTTCGTTAACGAAACGATTTTTAAAAAAATTTTGTTTCGTTTCGTTTCGTCTGAAAAAATTTTGGAGTTTCGTGCATGTCTGATCAGTAGCCCACGGTACAATTTTAAATTTAAAACAAAATCCTGAGGATTAAATTAAAAAATCTAGACTAATATACAGTCGAGACTTAAGCCAAACACAAGGTTAAACGTTCACTTAAATGATTTTTCGTTAGGAAAATGGCAAAAATAGCTTTGGACTAAATTATTTACCCCGTATAAGTAATATAAAGACCTTGGAGGATATTTTGGAATTTTGATTTTTGTACCAATAATAATTAGGTAAGTACCAGAAATCCTCCCCACCAAGAAAGGCATTCTCTATATTGGGAAATCGGAATTCCTACCCGAAAAACGTCGGGAATTTTTTATCTTTGGGAATCAGGACAACAGAATCTCTATTAAGTACCTCTTTAATGCCAGAAAAAATAAATTGGTTATTATTTTGTTCAAAAAATATTTGAATAGGTAAAGGTTCTCCTCCTCCTCCTTCTGTTGTTTTTCCAAGAGAATTCCATAAAGTAAAACAAATTTTAAAAGGATATCCAACTTGGAAAGGATAATTATTATCAACAGAATTGATGTTGTTTTCGTTAATTAAATTAATTTGTAAAGAAATTTGTGAAGAATAAAAAGGAAGCTGTTTTATAGAAATTAATGAACGAATTGGTTCCAATGAATTTTGACTGGAAAAAAAATAATTAAATTTATTTAAATTTAATGCCTTAGAGTGTCGAAATTTCGATTAAGATCGTACCCTCTCACCAAGTATTTTTGTCCCAGTACCAAAAATGATTTAGACTTCCAAAAGAACGGTGTTAAGAAAATTTCGAAGGTAATAGTGTCGTTTCCAGTCCGCATTTTTCCTCCCCAATTTTTTACCCTATGTTTGTACGGAATGGTCAAATTTTCCCTTTTCTTCCATCAAATTTGCCTTTCCACATTTTGCCTAAAAACAATCAAAAAGATTAATTTGTGATATTTAAAAAAAGTAGTAGAGTCAAGAAAGAAAAAGAAAGATGTACGGATGATTGGGGCCGTTGAGAGAAATACCAAGAGAAACACCAAGCTTTTTGATTGTTTTGATTGTTTTTAGGCAAAATGTGGAAAGGCAAATTTGATAAAAGAAGGGGGAAAATTTGACCATTCCGTACAAACATAGGGTAAAAAATTGGGGAGGAAAAATGCGGACTGGAAACGACACTATTACCATTTGGTAATAGTACAATTCCGGATTTAAAATTTATTAAAATTTGTAAAGAACATATAGTTATCTAATTCCTAAGGATGTGCGGCGTGTGGCGTGGTGTGTGAGGAGTAAAAAACTAATGAAGATGCTGTTTCATTCCCAGCCGCCGAATAACCTTTTGCACTAAATAAAGGAGAGAAATAGCTATAGCTGCTTTACTAATTTTCAAAAACAGAAATGAGTTCCTGTTTCTTTAGTTCCAGCTAACAGGTTCTGACTCCTGACGGTTTCCGAATCATTTCTAGACTCACTGAAACCTTTAAAAAATCTTTGATTTTAAACAATTTTAAACCCGCAATCGTCGTCCGGAATTATCGTACAGCCAACAGAACCACTGTTACCGTTAATATCCTAAGTGCTAGACTTCTATTTTTCAATACCCCTCATCGAGTGGGCTTCTAATAGCGATGGGTTTCTATTAGGGATGGGATTCTATTAGGATAGTTACTGCCATGTTAAGTAAAAAAATATTTCGAGAAAAAATATTTTTTAAACCCCCACTCCCACCTTCTCCATTCTACAATAACTTCTCCAATAGAAGATTGTTTTGAATCTTCCCCAATAATTTCAGGTAATATTTCAATATAAATATCATTTTTAAATAAATTAGAATTGTTTGTTTCGTCTGATATAATTCCCAATTTTTTATATTGTTCATTTAATATTTGAGAGAATGGAGGATATTCACATATTTTTGTTAAATTTTCGTTCTAAAAAATTGAGAAAAAAAATTTTTTTTGAAAATTTTTACTACAATTGTTCACCCTTTTTTGCTCAAAAGGTTGTATCTTATAATGAGCGTATCTTATATTGAATGTATTTTATAATGAGAGTATTTTAAACAGAGTGTATTCACTTGAGGTGTAGCCAGAAGTGGGTCAGAATTCCGATTTTCGACTTTTGAGCCAATTCCAATTTCCGGCTCTTCCGATTTCCGACACCTCTGACTGTTCCGACCAACCTCTGGGTGTAGCTTAGGCAGCTCCCTCCCTCTACAATGTCAATCTTATTCTAAAAACGTGTCTTAAACCAAGGTGTATTAATCCTTAGGGTGTCTCTTATAACGAGATCTAACTGTATTTTTAAAAATCTACATTACCAAATTCCATTTAGTATTCAATATTTCAATTCCTTCCAAATAATCTATTAAAAGATCAAGTCTATAACGTTGTCCACAAATAAAATATTGAGGTATTTCTTCCTTAAAATTTTTAAATTTTAAAATATTTTTTAAAATTCTACAAACATTTTCGGAATATATTGAAACGTCTCCAGTAAAAGGTGTTAAACAAGAAACATAAAAATCGTGTATAGACTCAACTGGTTCTCCATCAGAAAAGAGAAAGGCTGAAATCTAAAAAAGGAGAAATAAACAAGAAAGTAAAATGTCTGTTCCGGAAAATGTCTCTCTCTCATACACTCACTCCCTTTCTCTCGGTCTATAAACAATTCCGGAAAATTCTGATTAGAAATATGAAGAAATTTCCGGAAAAAGAGAACAAGAAAGAATTTTAGAGAAGCAACAGCTGACATGAGTATTTTTTCCTCATTATCAGTCAAATACCTTAATATTTGTCTGTTCCGGAAAATGTATCTCTCATAAACACTCTCTCTCGCTTCTATCAACACTTCTGGAAAATTCAGATTAGAAATAAAACGTATCTTTCCGGAAAAAGAGAAAAAAAGCATTTTAGAGGAGCAAAAGCTTCCCCATTATCAATCAAAATATGTACCTTAATATTTAGAGCAACACAATTGTTAGATTTTGATTGTAATCGGACAGAGAAGTCAATCTTAAATTTGAAAAAAAAAATTTAAATTTCCAATGTACGAGAAAAATTTTTATTTCAGACTCTAATGGCACCTTAATATATGTACTAGTACAATTCTCCCCTTTCTCCCTTAATTTCTCCTTTCTTTTATTTCCTCTTCTCTTTTATTTCTTTTATTTTTCTCTCTGCACATACACTCTACTGCCTATTTCTCTTTAACAAACAAACAGAACAAATAGACTAGACAAACAGAGAAAAGAAATAGTAAACAAAATTCTCTTTCGTCTCTATAACTCTTTTACAAATTATCCAAAACTTTAAAAAATAAATTAAAGTGTTCAGCCGATTTTTCAGTTTTAATTGGGACTGTACTTCTCAGGATCATTTCTGTAGTACGTATTCCTTTGCGGAGACGCAAACTGCTTCACTAAGCACCCTCGATGAAGAGGTTAGGCGTTGCCCCCTGAGCGTGAAGCTTGTTGGGGCGGTGCCAAATTTTTGGATGCCCTGACGTTGAAGACCGTCAGCTGGCCCCTTTTGGGGTCGGCTATGGGGGCAACGCTCTCTGAGCGGGTGCAATCTTTTCTTTAAAATATTAGGGGTTCCGTGTAAATTTTACCGATTTTTCTTTAGCCAAAAATTCGGCAATTTCTTGATTAAAAATAGGCACAAAAGTGTATCCTTGGACTGAGTCATTTAAATTTAGAGTATTTAAAATTGGCGTTGAACCAAATTTTTGTTGAACTATTTTTCTTTGTTGTTGAATATTTGAGTCTTCTTCACAATAAACTTTTTGGCAAATGATACTTAAAAAGAGATTACAAATCAAAATTTTTTTCAAGTATTTCAAACCTAACATTATTCAAATCTTCACAATCTTCCAAATTATTTAATAATGAAAACCCAATTTCAATCGATTCGTCTATATACAAATTTATTTTGTTAGGAGGACCGACAATTGATAATCTCTTTTGGCGAGGGATAACTCTAAAAATTAATTTTAAGAAGCAAAATGTTTGAAATCAAGAAGCAAAAAGGACAGTAAAAATCCTAGAGTGTCTTCGATACTAGTGATAACTGAGAACTTTGCTACAGAGACCTATACCCGGGACTGTGGCTTAGTCTAGATCTGAATTTTTTGATTCAGGACCGCAACCGCATAATTTACAGGCAAAATGAAACCAAAACAAAAAAATATTTTGTGGAATTCTAGTTGTGGAATTCTAGTACCCGATATTCGGACATTCCACACAAGAACTCAATTAAAAAGATTTAAACTAGAGATCGGCAAAATCGCATTTACGGGATCCCGTAACGGGATTGAGTTTGAAAAAATCGAACGGGAGAGATCCCATCCCGCAGAATTAATCCCGATAATCCCGCTCGTCGCATAAAACCCGGGATTCGGGACGGGATCCTGTAAAATCCCGCCCGGGATCCCTCCCGTGCCGATCTCTAATTTAAACCCGACTAAAAACCGTCCCCGTTTTTTCTCTCAATCCGTCACAGCCTTAATATATACCTGACTATCGAATTTTCAATCAGATAGCATGAATTATCAACTAACGATTGAGCTGACTTAACATTTTCCCAAATAAAACATCCATTAGCTAATCTAACAGCAAAGCTACGAATCTTTAAAAAAAATTTTTAACCCTAATTTTCTCTTCTATACCCACACAAATATCCAAATAAATATTTTTATTTCCAGAAGAAGGACTTTGTGCTCGATTTTGTTGTTTATTTAAATTTTCTTCAAAAAATTCTTTCCCAATTTTTGGCTTTAAAATAAAAAGGAGAGCAATTTCCTCATTTGGATTTAATAAAATTGAAGAGGAATTGCTCTCTTTAAAATTATCACAATTAATAATACTCCAATTATCCAAAGTAATTAATGTTTTTCCACTAATTGAAGAAATTTGTTCCAAATAAATTGTACAATTGGTAAGGGTAAGTGACAGACAAGAATTGTTTTTAAGAAGAACCTGAGAAAGAAAAATTTAGAAACTATGTATATACGTAGACTTTGGTAAAAAATACAACAAAAGATATGTAAAGAAGAGGGGGGCAAAGTTGTAAAGAAGCAATTTAAGATGGTATTTCTCTCCTTTAGCTAGTGCAAAAGGTTATTCGGCAGCTGGGAGCGAACCAGCATCTTCAGTAGACCGGACTGTTTTATCCACTACACCACGCCTAATGTACAGCCTTAGGAATTAAATAGCTTTATGCTTTACAGATAGAGAATAGATCGATTCAAGATTGGTAAGTTGTTAACTATGTAAATTGTAAAGAAGCAAGTTAAGATGCATAAATGGATTTGTAGGGCTATCGAGGGAAGCCAATTTGGAGGGATTAAAAGAGATATTGTGGTATTTGAGTGATTAAAAGAGATGTCAGGAATTTTGTGGAATATCGAGAGATATGGGGATTAAGAGGGATATTTGAAGATTGAGGGATATCGAGAGTAGGGTTCCGTTTTCGAGTCGGGCCGACGGTAGAGGCATTTTTTCGGTCTTGATCGAGTATCAGATATCTTAGGCCCGACTCGATCTTTTGGTCCAAGTAGGGCCATTTTGGCGACCTTAATCGAGAGATTATAAGAATTTGGCAAGGATATCGAGGGGTTTTGAAGAGTAAGAGGGGGGATATTGAAGGGATTATTAATTTAATTTATACCTCAATAGGTAAAGAATCTCCAGAACGTATATTTAAATATTTATTTTCATTTTCTTCCTCAAATTCTGTTGTTTTGTTTATATTAACGGGCAAAAAACGTATTTTACAATTTAAAAAAGAATAATTCCCCAATTGACTCAATTCTAGTTGAAATAAATTTTGCTGTCTTCTCCCTTCATTAACTGATAAATTTTGTTCCCATTGGGGACGAATAGAACAAATCTGTAAAATTGAATTTAAACAAAAATTATGATCATAAAAGCTTATACATATTAGAACAATTAAGGGGGGCTTCTAGGGCTAAAGCCCCCCCCCATTCCCCCGGGAATAAGAAAAATGGAAAAATTTGAGGAGGGGCTTGAAGCAAACGCCAAAATTTTGCCCCCCCCCCCTCCCCTCAAATCGACCATCTGGCTAGGCCCTTGGGAAAGAGACAAATTATGAAGAAAAAAATGAAGGAAATTGTTTTAAGGATTTTTTAAAAATTAAAAAATTGTTCTCATATATTCAGAACCAAATGGAAGCAAAAACAAACAATTTCAAAAATTCAGAATTTCTAACAATAAGAACCAAAACGAAAAAATATTCTCTTGGTATTGTTCGGTTTAGAACTTTATCAACAAAATAAATCTTTGCTTGGAGTCTGTTCGGCTTAAAAAATTTTCATTTTATTTTTCCCTTATAGCCTAAAATATCTAAATAAAAAATAAAAAAAACCTCTTCTTCATAAAAAGGAGAATTAGGTAAAATAGGAAAAGGTATAGAAGAATGACCAGAAAAATAATTTTGAGCATCCTCGAGTAAATTAGGTTCTATTTGAGAAGATAAATTTGTCATTTCGGAATGAAGTAGTTGAACCTTTAAAAAGAAAATTTCTCAAAATTCTTTAAAAAAAATGCTAACTATAGCCAAAATCCACTCATTAATATTTAAAGAGCAAAAAGCACAATTAGCCATTAATACAAGTACATTACGCAAAAGTGAATAAAATGAAGATGTACGAAGTTCTGTTGAAACGTGTTGGAGAATCTGAAGGAAAAAAAAATTTTTTTTAATTTGAAAAAAAATTTGCAAGAAAACTTTTTTCAGAAAAATTTTAGGTTCTATCATTAAATTCTCATCAAAAATTTCTTGAATACCTTCCCCGATTTTTGAAAAAAACGGGAAACGGGAAAAAACGGGAAAACGGGAATTTTGTTTTTTTCGGCAGTATCGCTTATGGCAACCCCTCCCCCGCTAAATTCGTTCCCAAAAGGTAGAGTGTTATTAAAAAGGTTCTCGATTGAGTTTAAATTCTCTTCAAAAAAAATTCTCTAAAAACCTGTAAAGAATTCCCAAATTGTTTAAAACAAATATATTCTTCAGCTATATTTAAATAAGACAAAGTCGCAAATCTTTTACAATGATAACGTTTAAATTGGCCAATTGCGGCAGAGAAAAGTTGAATTGATTGGGAATAATTCTCTTGAATATTTTGCTTTAAAAGAAATTAATTTTTAAAATAAAATTTAAAAAACTTCAAGAAAAATCTTCGCTGCATGTTCCACCAATTGTAAATTTCCTTTCATTTCAGCCAAAATTGTTTCATTATTTAACCATGGTCTGTGGCCAAAATAAATTGTTGGGGCGTTTAAATCTTTAAAGAAAAAATTTAAAGGAAATTTGACACCAAATCCTATACGAATCTTTCTACGCTTTTTGGATTATTTCCTAAACAGATACAGAAAAATCGAGCTAGAAAAAGGGGTTTCGGGAACGGAGGCGACGTTATTTTCCGGCATCGGAGGCGACGTTATTCCCGACGTTATTTTCCGGCATCCCGAAATCCCGGATTTTTTTAATTTTCGGGATCTTTCGGCCCCAGGATTTTTTTGATCCGGGATCCCTCGGGATCCCGTCCTGGAATCGGATAAAAAAATCACGACTCGGGATCCCGGATGTGGAATTTTGCCAGTCTCTAGTTCAAATGACTCATAACGAATAAAATATTCCCCAAAGGTTTCCGCTTTAAATATAAAATTTGTGCGAAAGTTAAAAAATATTAAACGAGTCCAACCTAATTTTATATGGAGCAAAAGTAATGACTCAAATTTTATCGGATTATAGCTTTCTGATAAACAATTACACCCCTTAAGTCATTACTTTCGTACCCCACTGTTCATAAAAACTTTTTTTAAATTTAAAAATATAAACCTAAATTAATTGAACATGTTTGTCTTTGCTGTTGAGCATTTTTTGCCTTTAATTGCCGAATTAAAGAATTTGCCCTTTTTAAATGAGAAGCAGCTTCTTCCAAAAAACGTCCAGGATTTTGAGAGGCATAAGCGGCTACTCCATTTGAGACAGCAAAATTAAAGAGATCGGCAAAAAGGCGATTCTGTTAAGGAAAATTAATTTTGAGTAATAAATAGGAAAAAATTTAATAATTGAAAATTCAAAATTTTTTTAGTCCTTAATAGGGTTGTCGGTTTAGCAAATTCTTCAGTTAACAGAAATCGACAAACCAAACCGGAAATCTTTAGTTTTTCGGTTTGGTTTGAAACCGAGAATCTTAGTCCTTAACGATTTTGTTATAAAACTAGTAGCCTTAGCGTTTAAAAAACTCAAAATTTAAGGAAAGAAAATGTCAAACAAAAATTTTTTAAAGAAAACCTGTTGAGATTTCCACAATTCAAATTCAATAATTGCCAGTTCTTTGCTTGGATAATTCCCCATTTGTCGATTAAAAAAATTACTAGAATGTTTTCTAAATTGATTGAGGGCTTCTAACGGGCTATTCAAAATAAAATTTAATTCACAAATCTGTGGAAAAAAATTTTGGAAAAAAATTAGAATTTAAAAAAAAACCTTATAATTTAAAAATCCAGCAATATTAATCAATTCATAAGTAAATAATTCCAACATTTCCAAATCTGCAGCTATTTGATATGCTTGTTTATAATATCTTTAAATATAAAAATTTTTTAAATCAAATGGGGGTCAGGGAAGAAAAGCCAAAAATTGGTAATTTATCGACCCTGCAATTATCGAGGCCGGTCCAAAAAATACTATAATTTTTTTACGACCCTGCAATCTATTGGCAATTTATCGACAATGGTGCAAAAAAAATATAAAAAATTTTCCTATACAGTTAAAAATGTCTCCTTGTAAATTTGATATTTTTCATGGGTCAGAGAGATGGAATTTTCAAACAAAAAAGACTGGAATTCCCCAAATTCAATGGAAAACTCAATTCAAAGAAAAAAAATTTTTTTTAATAATATCAACTATTTTCAAAACAAGAATGGGCCGGATTGAGAAAGGAATCGGGTAGGACAAGATAGGATTTTCGAATATTTCTCTGACTGGATATCGGATAAACACGGCCATCTCTGTTTCAAACATGAAAAAGATATTTAAAATGGGGTCTTTAGAATGTTTCACATAAATTTAATGTATTTTATTGTTAATATTCGAAAATAGAATTTCTAATATATTTAGAAATGTGTTACGATGTTGGATTAATTTTTGGATTTTTTTAAATTTAGTTAAAAAATATTTTTTTTAAAAAACCTTAGCGAAGAATGTCTATCTTCTCTAAGTTCTGAAATAAATGCCAATTTAAATTGTTGTCTTAACAAGACTTGTTGGTCATTATTTGGAACACTTCTAGCTCTAATTTTTTTGAAATAGGCTTGGTAAGCTTCCTGAAAAAAATTTTTTGGATTTTTGAAATTCTAGACAAAAAGTAAAAAAAAATATCAAAAATCTCAAGATTTTTTCCACGGCTTGGTATTTCAAGCGTTTTTGGGAGCTTGGTACCTCAAGCTCATGGTATTATAAGAAATTTCGGAATTTCCCAGAAAAATATTTCAAAAAATTTTTATTTCAAGAAAAACCTGTGCAATCTGATAAAAAGCAATTTCCAACCGAACAATACATTCTGCCGTAGCTTTTTTGTCCGTCAAAAGAGGAAAAACATAAAATTGCCTGGTTGATATTTTACAAAATTGACAAATTTCAATTGCTTTTTCTGTGGCAATAGAGTCGTCAACGGTTGTTTTTGCTTTTTGAATTAATACTAAAGCTAGTTTTGTTTCTAATTGGCCAATTGATTGCCTTTAAATTTTGAAAGATTTTTTAAATTAAAATTCAAAAACTTCATTAAAATTTTTTCTTTTTTAAAATTATTTTTGAAAAATTATTTGATTTTTTAAATTTTCAAAAAAATTCCAGAAATAAAAAAAAATATCTGAAAATCAGAAAAATAGAAAATATTTTTCAGAAATACTTAAAAAAATGAAAAAAAGGAAAATACTCACACGAAGAGTTTGCGAGGTGTCCTCGCAACTTTGGCGGAAAAACGGCTCAAAATCGTCCCGTTTTTAGGTCGAACACCTCGCAAACTCTCCTTGGCTGTCCCAATTCAATTTTCCTTTTATATTTGTTTTTTTCATTTTTTAAAGTATTTTTGAAAAATATTTTTTATTTTTTTAATTTTCAGATATTTTTTTCATTTCTGGAATTTTTTAGAAAATTTGAAAAATCATTTTAGAAAATTATAATTCGTTAAAAAATTCCTCAAACATATTTAAAAATAAAATTTTTTTAAAGATTGATTCAAATTTAACCTCAATACATTAAGCCTCGATTCGCATTCATTTTTCTGTTGTAGCCACAAATCACTGTCCCAATCCAAATCAATAAACAAAACAATTAATGCCGGCCTCTCATCCAAATATTTGTATTGCCAATTATATTTAATTATTCCACGAGGTTTGTTTTTAATTGAAATTGAGTCGTTTGGAGGGGTCTAAAAAATAAATTCCTATTTTTATTAATAAAAAAATTTTAGAGGTAAAAAATTTTTAAATTAGGTCTATAATAAAAATAAAAATTAAATTGGTATATTGTTCAAAATCAAAAAAATGAGACAGGAAAATATTCGGGGAAAATATTTGATGGAGAAAATTATTCGAAAATCCGTTAAAAAATTAAACCTTGTAAACCCACAGGTTTGAAAATAAATATTTTATACCCCCAAATCTGAAAAGTCAAAAATGTGTAAGCTTGGAGGGAAAATAAAATTTTTAACTAAAAACAAAGAAAAATTCGAAGAAAAAAATCACCCGAAAAAATAAAAATTCAAAGGTTTTCGAATTTAGTTTATCAAATTTTAATCAAAAAATATGTATTATTGAAGGAACCACTAAAAAGGATAGGAGAAAAAAATAAAAAAAAATGGCCAGAAAAAAAAAATAAAAAATGAAGAAGGGAGCAAACTCCAAACTCTTACCCTTTTATTTAATTTTAAAAAAATTCAAACCTTTTTTGAATTATTCCTCTTAAAAAAATCATCTCCATAATTAAGAATTTTATATTGGCATTGAACCGATCTTTCCCTTTTTAAATCTGTAAAAGCATTGAAAATAGCTTCATGATGAGCACATTTGCCGTTTAATTCAAGTCCATTAAAAAATATTAAGCCTCGAAGACAATTATTAATTAAACGGGAATCAATTTCTTTTGGTTCCATCTGAAAATTAAAAGAAAAAATTTGTTTAAAAGCCGTTAAAAAGCTCGAAAGCCTAAAAATTAAAGTCTAAAAATTGGATGCGACCAGAATTGCCAATAAATGCCATTAAAGCACCAATAATTTAAATAATCTAAATTGTGTTTTGAATAAAAATTATTTTTGTAATTAAATTACAGTTTTGTAAATATTTCAAAAAAAATAAAGTTAGCTAATTCTTTATTCAAAAAAATTAATTAAATTTACATAAACTTGTTTTTTTCAGTCAAGAAATTAAACGATAAACGAATACGATTCACTCAGAAAATATTGTTGTGAGACAGATATTGTTTGTAATACTGAGAAGCAGAAATGAGTAAATATATTTTTCTGTTTAGGTAACTATACCATTTTACAACCCAAAAATCCTTTGATCACGGGTTTAGAAAACTTAATTTTTAAAACATAATGAAAAAAATACTTAATTTTCTTTTATTTATTTTTTTAATGTCAAGCTTCTTTTGGATTATCTGAATTTATTCGAACAAAAATAAATACTATATTTAGTAAGTACTTGTGTGGTTTATAAAAACACTCGAGAATTAAACAAAAAATAAGTTCTTTTAGTAAACTATTTGTATCATTTAGTTAAAAGTTGACAAATAAACAGAAACAAAGAAGCCCAATAAGGCCTAGCTTCTTCAAATTCGATAGGTCCATCGCCATCTTTAGAAAGCGCCAAAGCAATTTGTAGTTGCATTTCCTCTTCACCCAAAGAGGAAGGCCTAGCCTCTTTAAATTCTGGATCGACAGGTCCACCATTAGAATCGATTGTTCGTCTACGACTTGTCCCATCAGAGGAAATTACAGAAGTTTTAATATTCATAAGAGGTCTTCGAATTAACATATAACCAGCTCTTTCACTTTTCAGTTTTTCATCGTCAGTTAATAAGGCAACCAGTTGATTTGCCCTTGTTCGGACATTTAATCCTCGATCAAGATATTCTTCAATGTATTGAAAATCCTAAATATTAATTCTTAGCTTAATAATTATATTAACGATTTAACAATAGAAAAGGCCAAAAAATTTTTGTCTTCAAATATGAGCGAGAGTAAGGTAGTTGCGCCTATATACTATCATAAAATATAAACCTTTAATATTTCAATGGAAGAAATTTTCTCTTTGCATTGTTTTACTACTCGTTCACTTCCACATTTAATCAGATAGTCAAGCAAAACCAAACTTTTATAGACCTGAATTAAAAAATTAAAAAAAATCCAATCAAAAATTTACATGTCTCCAATTCTTTCCTTGGTCATTCAGCCTTTTCCAAATTATGGACATTACTTCATCAAATAGAATTAAAGCGTGTGTCATATCAGCAATTTCTGACATTAATGCTGTTGTTGGACCCCATGGATCATTGCTATCAACAAAGTAAAATCAGAAAACAAATTTAAAAAAAACCTCGTGACCTCTCGCACTTTAATTTGTGCATTTGTATATTTCAATGCTACATTTTTCACCCGTCTGCGAATCTTTAATACCATGGGCATTTTGAATTAAAAGTCAGGTTATCTGATAGAAGAATAATTGTAAATGACCAGTTTGCTCCTCTACCTGTTATTGTACTATATGAGAATTCTCGCTTTGCAACACTTTTTCACATTTTTGCGTTTGGAGAGGCACTCGTCTTTTTCCTTATCAGCTATAATATGAAAGGAAAAAAATTAAAAAGTCAAAAGTAATTAATAATAAAGTGTAATTTAATTTACAAATGATTAAAGATTAACGATCATAAATTGTTAAGAAACCGCGAATATATCCATTTTTAAAATGGTCAGGTACTCAAAAATTTCAAAATGGTCAGTCTTTCAAGGTCAAGTTAGATTTAAAATTGATGTCACTATTTTCTGGTTGTCACTAGAGGTCGGCAAAATCGCATTCCCGGGATCCCGGAACGGGATTGGGTTTTAAAAGTTCGACCGGGACGGGATCCCGCGGGATTAATTCCGTAAATCCCGTTTTTCACTGAAAACCCGGGGTTCCGGGACGGGATCCCGTAAAATCCCGTGCGGAATCCCGTCCCGTGCCGAGTTCTAGTTGTCACTAATTTCTTTTTCAGGTTTTGCAACGGCTAAATTATTTTCTAAAAAAATCAAAATGTCACGGGTATTGTGGGTTGTTCGCCATGCAGAACGTGAAGACAACATTAATTCAAATTGGAGAAAAACTGCAAATCCTCACAAGCTTAAATCGGATAACAGTCCATTGTCTTCTAGAGGACATCAACAAGCAAAAGAATTGGCTGCGAGGTTTGAAATTTTTTTTGATTGGTAAAATACCTCAGAGTCGTTAAATATGCTTAAACAGCATTTTGACTTAAAAAATTTTTTAAAGAAAATTTTAATCAATTTAGATTTGCAAATGTTCAAATCGACCATATTTTTGCCTCTCCATTCGAACGGACAGTGGAGACTGCAACAGCTATAGCTAGCGAAATTAAAATTCCAATTAAATTGGAGCCTGGATTGTGTGAGGTAATTTTACTCGGAAAAATTTTTTTCTTAAAAAAATTTTTTTCCAGGCTTTATATATGTGTGAAGAACCTCCTAGTTTTGAAGAGCCAGAAGCATTAAAAAGCCGATTTAATTTAATTGACACTTCTTACAAACCAATATTCAAAAAGCCAATGCCTAAAGAGGGAATGGGGGATAGTGCTTGTGTTGGTCGTCTTCAGAAAACAATAGAAGGAATATGTGAGAAATGCGAGGATGCTAGTAAGTTTTATAATTTTTTAAATAGTGACCGGTAAAATTGTGTTCTGAATTTTTCTAAAAAAAAATTTTGCACGGATCTCGAGGGGAAACTCCCAAAACTCGTAACGTATGCCACTGGGAGCGAGAACAAGCAAAATCCATCGCGGGTCTCGCCCCGCGCCGATCATAATTTTTAACGGTCCAATGTTTCACCAAAGGTCTAGATGTTTTATCCCGACCCTGTCAGAAATTGTAAATGAGGGGTCTATTAGGTATTCTTCTCCGAGTCTAAGTTTTATCTTATCCTGTCGCCCCTTTAAAAAACTCAAAATTTTCAGAATCAATTGTTCTTGTATCCCACGCCTCTCCAATTGGCGCTATTCACGAAGTATTGGTTAACGAATGGACTTATGTAGGGCAAGCAACTGTTACCAAGTTTGTTGAAACCGAGAAAGGGTCAAACCAGTTTTGTTTGGAATATTCAGCTAATGCTGACCATCTTTCTAATAAATCAAATTTAAGGCCATACTAAATTGTGAAGATATTTTAAGTAAATGTTTAGAGCTTCTGTCAATTGTTAATATAATATATTAGTGGGTTGCAATAAATATTAGAATCTGTTAAGTTTTTTTTATTAAATTTTAGAAAATTTTCATTAAGAATTAAGTAAGCCAAGGTGAACCAGGATTTGAGGTTAAATCAAACTTGGGCTTATAAAGCGATTCGTATAGCCTCTCTGTTAAAAAAAGTTTTTTTAAGTTATGTAAGGCACTCGTACATATCAGGGATGTCACGGGTTACCCGAAACCCGGACTTTTTTCATCCCGAAACCCGATCCGAAGAAAATTCTAAAACCCGACCCGACATTTTTCTCAACCCGTGACATCCCTGGTACATATGCTGGGTAATTTATTATCCCGTTCCCAGTGAATAAAGTTTTCGATCCCCAAAGGTTTTTGTCCAGTGTTAGTATCCTGGCACCTAAGGATATTCAATTAAACTTTGAATTTTTCTAAATATTAAAAAATTTATTGGGAGGTATTTAAGTGATAATGATTAAAAAAGTAATGTAGTTACATACTCGTATAACTCGCGGATAAGTTTAGGAATCCAGTTATCCCGCCAAAACTTTTAAATTCAATTTATAGGATATTAAAGAATACCCGCGAGAGACAATACATACATTTTTAGGTTTAAACAAACCAAATTTTTATATTTCATTATTTATTTAAAGTTAAATCGCACAAGAGTTCATTCGAATCGGCTGGCATAGGAAGCACAGAAATACAATAAAATCGAGTGTCAATAGGCAAATTATAACTGTAAAATAGGGGAGAAATTAAAAAAATAAGATTTCAAATAGGCCGTTTTCGAGGGCCTCATTTTTATCGAACCGAGCCGTTCGAGTCTTTTTCGGACCAAAATTCGATGTTCGGTTAGATCTATCGAACCGAAACAACCCTAATTTCAAACCACCTATTTTTACCTAAAATTGAAGTTCCAAAATTCCCAAAATCTTAAATAAATTTCCCTTCAAATCCCCAAATTCCATTTTAAAAATTACCGATTTGTAGTTTTTCTAATTTGACAAAGCAAAATAGTTTCCACCAAAACAAATGCCCATTTTCGATTTGAAGTATTATTAGAAGACAATTCACTTTTTGTGGTAATACTTTCCTTCAATTCATCTTTACTTTCTTGTTGTAATTCACCAGTTATTTTTTCAAGTCCTACCCGTTTTAGACAATTTTCTTTTACAATATATGGGAGAAGTTTATGGTTAGAACTTAAAAATATTTTTAAAAATTAACTTAAAAATGGTATTAATGCATTGTCTTTTCCTCCATTCTTTATTTTCTTTTATTCTAAAATTATAAATGATCAACGGTTAGTCTCGACTTCCCTCCAACAATTTTCAACCAAAATTTTCTGAATTTCTTCCCAGTTCGTGGAAGTGTGGGTACTTTTCCGTTTTGTCACACCTCTCTATATTAATGCTCAAAATATTATATTCATATAGGGTAATAAATGTTTTTCGATATTCGAGGCCTATATCACGCTCCACAAACATCTTCGGAAAAATGAGGGTACCGTTCGAATCAGCACCTTTTATTACCCGACATTTTGAGCATTAATATAGGGCAAGGGCGTATCCAGGGGGGGGCTGGGGGGGCTAGAGCCCCCCCCCCCGAAATGGGGGAAAGGGGGAAAAAATTAGGAGAAGGATGGTCGAAAAAGTGAAATTTTTTCGCCTATAACCCTCAAATTTTAAAAAATTTTCGCCTGCGGCGCAAAAAATGGAAGAAATCTGGCTTCTTGAGCTCCAAAATCCTCAAAATTTTCGCCTGCGGCGCTAAAAAGTAAACTTTTTTGGCCTACGGTCCTCCAAATTCAAAAAATTTCTGCCTGCGGCGCTAAAAAAAGGAAGAAATCTGGCTTCTTCGGTTCCAAATTCAAAAAAATTTTCGCCTGCGGCGCTGAAAAAGTGTATTTTTTGGCCTACGGCCTTCTAAAATTCAAAAAATTTTCGCCTGCGGCGCTGAAAATATAAAAAGTTATGTACAAAAAAATTTGCCGTAGGAACGCCAAAGTAAACGCCAAAAATTTTTGCGCCCACCCAGTGTTAGCCCCCCCCGAAACCGACCCCCTGGATACGCCCTTGATATAGGGGGTGTGCAAAACGGAAATGTATCGAAGTGTAAATAAGGACGTTCCCACTTTAACCTTATAATTCAACCTCTTTAATTCTAATTTTGACCATTAAGGGCAGTTGACCATTTGTAATTTTTGGAAGAGGAGAAAAAAATATGGGGAGAAACTAACGCAATAATACCAAAAAACTTTCTATACCAATGTGCAACAAAAGCGCCCATCTTCTCATTCCATACAATTAAAGCACCAACTCCTTCAATTATCTAAAAATTAATTAATGTCTCAAAATTCCTCATAGAAATTTAAAAAAACCTCTCCAAGTGATACAATGAAGTTCATATCATTTTTACGAATAATTGTTTGTACTCTACGGTTTTGCAGTTGAATAGTTCGTGATATTTCATTTTGTGTTACATCACTCATTTTTGGTTTAATTGTTTCATCTTTCACATCAATAAATGAGGCTGTTACTGAAGAATGTATAACATTGTCTTGTGATTCTAAATTTTAAAAATAAAAATTATTAAAAGTTGAATCTCAGACATTTCACGTCCTGATAGGACTTATAAAGAGAAAAATAGAAATCAGCATGACAAAGGGAAACGTTAAACTCCCTAGTATGCCCAGTTGGGGTCAGGCACTTATAGAAATTGGAAAAATAAATTATCAAAAATCTTTAGCACTAAATATTTAGGAAGAACTCTGGCTTCTTGACTAGCTGAAAATGTCAAACCCCCACCCCCCGTTCATTTTTACTAACAAAAAAAATTTTTCTCATTATCTCCCTACAAAATTTATTCTAGAATAGATATGTCCTCGCTAATTCACGTTCCATAAATTCCCAGCTTTCGCCCAATATCCCGACCAAAAGCCTAAATAATTTAGAAAACCTGATATAGCACTTTCCAACATTTTAGCTCTATTTGTTATACTCTGTGAAGTATTCACTGCCTCTTCCTTTTCACTAATTACATTAGACAACTCATCCTTCTCTTTTTTAAAAGCAATTATTTGATCATTTAATTCACTTATTTGTTTCTCTTTTTCAATTAATTGTTGTTCTCTTTCTTCTCTAATTTTTCGTTCATTCTAATTAAAAAATCATTTCAAACAATTTTCCTAAAAATTAAAAAAAGACCTCCAATTTTTCTTCAATTTCAACAATTTTTTCATTCATTTTCGTTTCCATTTCTTTCAGTCGTTCTTCATTTTCTTTTTCCATTTTCAATTTAAATTCTTCTACAGCTTTCAGAGAGCTCTGTTTTATCAAAGATTGGATAGATTGAAGAATTTCTTTTGAAAACAAAGAAATATTTTCTTCATTAAAGCTAGTTTGTTGTAATTCTGTTCCAGCTTCGCGGAGAGAATTTAAGTTCTATAAAATTGAATTTTATGTTTAAAAAAATAAATTTTTGGAGGATATTTGAAGTTAAATTAGAGTTCGAACCCAGGCCCGGCCCGGTTTTTTCTAGGCCCGGTGACCCGGAACCGGGTATTTTTGAGAAAATCCGGGTTTTCCGGTTTTAACCGGAAAACCCGGTCCGGGTGCGATTTTGAGAAAAAACCGGGTCGCGGGTCCGGCATTTTGAAAAGTTCGAACTCTAGCTAAAATCCCCAGAGAAACCTCTTAATTCATAACTTTAAGTTGAGAACCCCAAGCTTCCCATTTTTTTCCTAAATTTTACTAAAAATACCTCAACAAGTTCCTTCATTTGTTTTTGTACATTTTCTAATTTTATCTTCATCCCAACATCAGAATACTTTTCCAGTTCAACTTTACGATTAAATTCGTCCTTTGTCACCTAAAAATTTTACACAAAATTTATTTTTAAAAATAATTTTTAAACCTCTTCCACTAACGCCGGTTGATTAGCACATTGAGCTCTAACAAGAGAAAGTGGTCGAGTAATTTTAGGTGATGAACGAAAAGGAGAATAATTCTTAAAAAAACAAGTTTAAAAATTAAAAAAAAAATTTTTTTAAATACCGGAAGTGTAGCTCTAGCATTGTTAACTGTTGTAATAAAACGATTATGTTCATTAATCAATCCAAAACTACTAAATTCATCGGGTGTGCTGAAATTGTTGGAACCTATTGAATCATCCTTTTGTTGTTCATCGCCACGAGTTTCATTATTATTATTGTTTGTTGGAATCGCAATTGGAGCACTTGGCTGGAGTGGAGACATTGATTCACGTTTCTTTGATTTTTTATTAAGTATCAGAAAGTTTTTAGAAAAAAATTGGAAAAATTTTTCCCCTCAATAATTTCAACGGTATCTCAAGCTAACATAAGCAAGTAAACGATTACAGTCAGATGGTATTATTGAATACAAATTTTGATTTAGTTGGTCAATAGGTAGGGCTTAAATCAATAGGTAGGCCCCCCTCCTTGGCTACGCCCTTGCTGGCTACCCACTATTTTAGATATCCTCATTATAAGACTTCTTCTTCCTCAAGGAGATATCTAAAAATGAAGTTCAACGATAACCATAAAACTTACATCGTTGGCAACGATAGTGCTTGAACTGTTATTATATGTCAATGCAAATTGGGGTTGTCCTGTATAATGACATAGACTGCGTGGAGGAGATTCTGTCATTATATTTGCTCCAATTGAGTTTAAAGATGTATTAGAAGCAAAACTGGAACCTTCCCGAGTTAAAGTAAGAAATGCATGACCTCCAGACGGTGAGACAATATCAATAGGTTCCTCACTGTTAAATTGAGAATTTTTTAAAATAAAATGATAAAAATTAAATTCAAAATTTGAGGAAATTCTAGAAATTTGAATTTATTTGTCGCCGAAATTTGGAAAACTCTCTGATGAAATCTTTGGCAAAAACAAAAGATCCCTGAACGGTTTCTGGAACTTTGTAAAACACTAACCGAATCATGAAAGTTTCCAAAATTAATAGGATACTAACCAGGGATGGGCCCTTTCGAATTTTAGAAGCGGAACATGGAAGAAAATAAAAAAATAGGGCAAAAACCTCGATTACCTTAACCAATTTGTTGAAGTATTAAAATTCAATTTCATAGCATCAATGTTTGACATTCTATCCCGGTCATAAAAACTCTGGTCTCGACGTATTTGAGATATCATAACTTGTTGATTTTGAGATTGGGAAAAATCAAAAACTGATAAACGTTGAAAAATTCTTGGAGCGCCAACAATTAATACATCTTTCATATGAGGGAAAATCTGAAAAAATTCTTTTATAAAAATTTTAGAAAAGTTCAAACCTTTCTAAGTTCACTCAAGTGTTTACTTGAAATTTTTGGAAGGCACTGATCTATTTTTGGAGGTGTTGTGGATGTAAATTGTGGAATTCTGTCACTCATTCCAGGGAATAATTGACACAAAAAATGTTTATCCAATTTGTTTTGAAATTGTTCTCGAATACGATTCTCTTCGGCAATAAAAGCTGAACATTTATCTATATGAGTAGTAATCCAGCCAGAAAATTCCTTAAAAAATAAATTTTAAAGGAGCGCAAAAAATTCAGAATAGAATTGTTTTAATGAGTAATTTGAATCTCATAACAAGAGGGGGAAGAAGTAGTGACCCTTTGAGACAATAGCGTAAAGTGATGGGATTTTAAACACAATGTAGAGCTTAAAGAATTTGGAAGAAGTTAAACTCTACCTATTTTTCTCGAATATATTTTAGGTCTTTTGTTGTTTGAAGCCATTCCCGTTACTTCCCCCTCAACTTTCTTGTATTTACCCCTCACATTTATATTTTATTTTTGGAAATAAATATTTTAATTGGAATTTGTTTTTTCTAGCCTTATCACCAAGTCCCTCGTGCTACCCCTACAACAAGGTCTGATCCAGAACAGCTTAATTCTAGATGATAAAAAGGTGTCGGGAAAAGTGCAAGGATTAATTTAAAATTAACCTTTCTCAGCTCTTCCCTTCTTATAACTTCTGGGACTGCTAACATGTAAATATTTGGTGCTTCTTTAATTTGTCGTACAAGATCCAATCTTTGGCGGAGTCCAGAATATTTTTCCTCAAATACAACCAATTTCTTGTTTGCCCTGTCCAATCTTTCATAAGCCTTTAAAAAATAAGTTAATTACTTGAAGCTCTAATTTAATCTAAAAACCTGTCTAACCCAAGTAGAAAATCTTTGAGAGACTAAAAATTAAAAAATTAAATTTCGCAAAAAATTTCTCTCTGAAAATTCACAAAAAATAAACAAACTATTTTTAACAACTTCCTCTTTTGAATCAATAAAAGAAATTGCAAAATCATAGATATGTTTAAGTGGTTGTTTTAATTCATTTAAACGTTGTTTCTGCCAATTTGCAATGTTTTGTGTGCTGTCTTGAATTATTGGTTGGATAATTCTGTTGGAAATTTCGCGAACTTGGGCAAGAATTCCTTTGAAAAATTAAAAGAATAAAAAGGAGAAAAAAATTAAAATTTAATGTTTGTGTTAGAAGGACCGAAAAGTGAAATCAAATACTATACTATAAGATTTCTTCCTAAAATGAGTCTCAATCCAACAAACAATCCCTTCGAGTTGGTTCTTTCTAGAGATCGAGCTGGACATGGACCAAGGCCTGGGTTTTTCCTGTACCCAGAGTCCAGGTCCAGGCATTTTTTGACCTTCCTGGGTTTTTCCTGGACTACAGGCCCAGGATCCAGTCCAGGTCAAGAAATCAACTCCAGAGTCCAGGAAAAGGTCCAGGCTTTTCAAAAATCTCGATCTCTAGTTCTTTTCTTTCCCTTTTGTTTTAGCGATTTTTCCCGTCTCATTGAGCCAGTTAAATTAGATCCGAACGTATTTATGAAAAAGTCTAGAAAGTGGAGAGATTTATTAGGACTAAAAAATGGAACGAAAACAGATAATAAGTAGGAAAGCGCCAGAAAGAAAAAATCGTTAGAAGAAGAAAAATGAATAAATTCAGATACCCAAAATCTAAAAAATCTCAGCAAGAATTCATAGAAAAATTTAAAAAAATTAAAAGGCAAACCTTCCAAATGCTGAAATTTACTCCTCAAAGTAGTCAATCTTTTATCAATCCCTCCAATTTCTCTATATTGTGCTTTTGTAGAGACTCCTTGAACAATTGTAAAAAAAGATGTGGCTTCAATTAAATCAGTATCGTCAGTTTTCTCCAAATGATCGAGCATTAATTGAGATAAAGAATTTAGAGAATAAGCCGGGTCTTTTGATGATAGCCAATCGAATAAAGTTATTTCTTCAGAAGACGTGAAAGTTGGTGAATTTGTATCACTGTCAGGAGAGGAAGGAGTTAATTGTTGAGCTGGAGGAGGTGAGAGGAGAGAGGAAGGAATTGTTATCTAAAATAATTTTTTTAAAGTTTATTTGCTGAATATAGTAAAGCTTTAAAAAAATTAATTCCTAGCTCAAACTAGAGACTAGATCAGAACGAGAACTGAAAAAAATCTCTGTCATCGAGATCAATATTTTTCAAGACAAGACAACAGTCCGGTCACTAGTCCTGCACTAATACAAAATAGGTGAAGTCTTGGTCTATAGCCTGGAAAATTTCCAGCTTTCCAAAATTCCAAAATTTTCAGATTTATTCCCAAACGAGAGAAAAAATTTATTTTGTTCAGGGAGCTTAAAAAAAATAAATTACCTTTGAGAGCACTTCAATAACATTGTCAAAATCTCCCAACAGAACACGTCCTTTTGTTCGGATAATTTCCAACTTTTCTGCTTGCCTTTTAGAGCGTTGAAGGTATTTTTGGGTGCGAGAAATGCTGTCGTCTAAATTTGCGATGACTGCCTTCCATCCCTAAAGAATAATTTTTTAAATTTTAAATGTAAAAACAAATTCAGAAATTTAACCTGATGCAAATAATGATGTTCAGAAATTAAATTGCTACAAAACCGAATAATCGTTTCAGCAACATTATTGCACTTTTTTGCCAATTCTATACACTCTGTAATAGCAGAAGAGGAGGTTGTGCTTATCCTGTTTAGACGGTCCATCTCAGAGCTCCAACCTTTGAATTAATTTTTATGTAAAGTTTTGAAGGCCTTGAGGCTATAGTCTTTCAAAAATGGTTGGATAAGGGCCTGGGTACAAAACGGGAGCAGGCCATGGTACCGCAAATACCGCAGCGCTATAACTTCGTTCAGAATTGTCGGATCTGGGACGGGCTGGTATAGTTCGATGCATCTCGGCGAGCCGAATCGAACCATACAAAGGCGTCCCGGATTCGAGAATTTTGAACGAAGTTATAGCTCGAGTAGAACAATTTGTGTTAAGGGCCCATATCCCAGTCATTAGGGGCCCATATCCCAGCCTAAAGCCCATATCCAGGCATTTTTGATTCTTCTTGGACTAGAGGCTTTCCTATACTATAGGCCCATCATCCGGCCCAGTTAAACGGATTCAGAAACCACTAGATTTCTTTAAAAACCTCAAACAGCCACCCCCAAAAATTAAAATTAAAAAAACCTCTAAAAAGTTCATTAATTCCTTCCAAATTTTCCTTCACCAATTCTCTACCATTATTCGTTACTCTTCTAACAAGAAAAATTGGATTTGTATCAGTTCCAACCCCAGTTATTGAAGAAAGCATTGTTGAGCCAATTAAAGACCCTCCATCAGAAAGAAATAATAATTGATTATCAATTCCAATTCCCGTCGATTTTTCTATTGATCTGAGGGGGAAAAAAAGAAGATTTTTAAAAAAATTAAAAAAAAAAACTTTTGCAAATCAAAAACAGAACCAAGCGTTGGAGGTTCCAGCATTAACATATAACCTAAAAAATATAAAAAAAATTTAAAGCACAAGAAGCTGAAGGAAATAAGAATAAAATACCTTGATTAACGTAAAAGATGTGGAACATGTTGAAATTAAAAAAGAAAGAAGAAAGAAAAATGAATAAAAAATTAAATCTAAATTGAAAAATAAATAGTAGAGATCGAGATTTATGAAAAGCCTGGGCCTGTTCATGGGCATGTAGTCCAGGAAAACCCCAGGCCTAGGAAAAACCTAGGAGGGCCAAAAAATGCATAGGCCTGGACTCTGGGTACAGAGAAAACCCAGGACTTGGCCAGGCCAGCTCTAACAAATAGTATGTAATTGTAGTTGGGAAGTTCGGGTACAGCCTCGCGGGGAGTCTACGGTCGCTGGGTTCTGGGCTCGTAACTTAATCCTATTCCTTTTTACCGATTCTCAGCCTTGAATGCCGACCTACCCTCCGTAGCAACACCAAAACAGGTATTGAAGCGAAAAGGCGAACAAGGAAAAGGCGAAAATATGAAGAAAAGCTTGGCGACAATTCGGCCGGCGACATTTCGGCCTCGCGACATTTTGGCCCGCGACATTTCGGCCGCGACATTTTGGCCCGCGACATTTCGGGCGTGTCCCGGGAAGTTCTGAGGAATTTAAACCCGGATGTACACTCTGTCCCAAAATTATGAGTTCACCCCTAAATTTCATCATAATTTGGGTTTCAGACTACAAAATCAAAATATCTTTTAATATATGATTATTTAGCGTATTCGGAAGTATTTTGTAAGTTCTCAGACAATTTGCAATGTTAAGGCGAAAATTACGCCAAAATTCCTTAAAAACCACTGTCCCAAAATTATGAGTTCACCTTAATATTTTCCTTCAAAACATTAGGAAAAATTTATAAAAATCCCAGTAGACATATACATTGATATCATGAAAAAAATAAAAAAAACTAGGCCCATATCATTATCCAAAGTCGAGATCCAGATACCCCGAAATCAACGTAAAACAGGGGTAAGGCTCTTTAAAAAATATTTTCGGCCTCTTATGTATTATTTAAAATTTTTATTTTAGGCTTATCTGAAAGCCCTTGAAATTTGCTACAAGATAGTTGAATCTTATTTTTCGGAAAAATTTTCATAAAAAGATTCAGAACGTTAAACTTCCGAAGCGACCTTAAAGGGCAATTTATGGGGGCATTAGGTGTTTTTTGGTGACAAGGATATTTAACACTCAATAACCCAGCGAGATATTTTTTCCGAAAAATAAGATTCAACTATCTTGTAGCAAATTTCAAGGGCTTTCAGATAAGCCTAAAATAAAAATTTTAAATAATACATAAGAGGCCGAAAATATTTTTTAAAGAGCCTTACCCCTGTTTTACGTTGATTTCGGGGTATCTGGATCTCGACTTTGGATAATGATATGGGCCTAGTTTTTTTTATTTTTTTCATGATATCAATGTATATGTCTACTGGGATTTTTATAAATTTTTCCTAATGTTTTGAAGGAAAATATTAAGGTGAACTCATAATTTTGGGACAGTGGTTTTTAAGGAATTTTGGCGTAATTTTCGCCTTAACATTGCAAATTGTCTGAGAACTTGCAAAATACTTCCGAATACGCTAAATAATCATATATTAAAAGATATTTTGATTTTGTAGTCTGAAACCCAAATTATGATGAAATTTAGGGGTGAACTCATAATTTTGGGACAGAGTGTATTAAATAATCCGCAAGGCTGTTCTTTAGTATAGCTACACCGAGATCGAAACTTGAAGTATATACCATTCGATTCGTCTCGCTGAGCTGAGTTCAAATATGCAAGAATTTTCTGCGGGAGACGAAAACTCGCAGAGATACAGGCCCCCGAAAATTGAAAAACCATAGGGGGGAGTAAGCTGATTTTTGGGGTCAAAAATTCGCTCGTCGAGCTGAGTCGAATGACACCAAAATCAACAAAATCAGACATGATTGAACAAAGTTATGATCTTTTATTTTAGCTCCTTACCTATGGGATCTGTGGAGATTTTTGCTGCTACGGAGGCCCCAAATACGTCCAGAGCAAGGGAGATAGGAATAGGTTTATGTTACGAGCCCAGACCCAGCGCCCGTAGACTCCCCGCAAGGCGCGTGCCGCAAAACCCCGCGCGAAGCGCGGGGTTTTGCACAAGCGCCTCGCCGACGCCCCATAGGTTTAGGTTTTTTGTATCATAACTTTGTCTAATCTTGTTCAATCACGGTGATTTTGGTGTCATTTGACTCAGCTCGTCGAGCTCTTTCGAATGAGTTATTATTTGTATAAAAAATTTTTTATTCCGAAAATCGCCCCTTTGGATCTTCGATTTTTAGGGGTCTATATCTCGGTTCAATCAAGTCGGATTTCGTTGATTTTGGTGTCATTCGACTCAGCTCGACGAGCTCTTTCGAATGAGCTATCATTTGCATATTCGAATTTTTGACCCCAAAAATCAGCTTACTCCCCCCTATGGTTTTTCAATTTTCGGGGGCTTGTATCTCTGCGAGTTTTCGTCTCCCGCAGAAAATTCTTGCATATTTGAACTCAGCTCGTCGAGACGAATCGAATGGTATATATTATGGGTTCCGATCTCGGTGTAGCTATACTAAAGCGACCCCATCCCCAAAATTCGGGATAACGGGAAGTGCCGACTAATTTTTTAATTGATTCCTGCAAGTTCCAAACGGCTAGCGAAGCTCTAATTACCGTAGCACAGCTCTGATGCGGAGCTTCGCCAGCTGTTTCTGTAACGTTGATCTTTTTGAAGTTGATCTCTAGTGTTGATCTTGTAGGGTTGCCCCAAGGAGTAGATTACAACAAAAAATTGCGTAAAATAAATCTCTCGAAGCTTTTTGGAAAATGTAAAAAAAAATTTAGAAATTTAAAGCGGAACGTCCCAATCTAGTATTACCAATTTAAAGTACAAACGGATGCTCTTTGCTGGGAGTTTTCATTTGTCCTGCTGCATCCGCTCCTTTGCTGGGAGTCTTTGCTGCCTTACAAGGTAATCGTACCTGCAACGGCAAGTCAGCAAGGACTCCCAACAACGGAGCGGACGAGCAGGACAAAGGAAGACTCCCAGCAAAGAACATCTTAGAGCACATCCCAGACCGGGATGTTACCCACTACACCAAGGCCGCTCTATAAATTAAGATTTAAAAATGCTTTATAAACTCTTAACAATTCTTTGATATGACTGAAGAATGTTTTGATTATGAAGATACTGATGTGAGTATGAAAGCGCTGCACGTCGTTAGACAGCACAAAAACTATGCGGGGCAATTCCTCATGGAATGACTCGTTCTCTTTCAGATTTCTTAAAATAAATTCTCAATATCAGGCTCAACTCCCCCAATTTAATATTTGTCAAATTGAAGACGTTTTTTAAAGATAATACAAAAAGGACAGGCATCTAAATAAGAGATGCCACGGATTTAGAAAAAAGATGATCAAATACCTATTAACTAGCGACTGAAGGATAGGACCAAAACTTCACCAAACAAGCAACCGACATTAATCTCGAAAAAAAATTTAAAAAATAAGAAAACCTGGATAAAATACCAGACGAACAAATAAATAATTTTGCTATTTAATTTCAAAAACAAAAATTTATGTCTTTTAAAAATGAGTAAAGAACGTTTTTAAAGGGAAGACAAAAAACCAAAAGGGTGGGTGATAAAAAAATTTTGAAAAAAATAAAACAAGAAAAAGATAAAAATATTTTCTTTATTTTTCTCCCAAAAATAATTTTTATTAAAATTTTTCGGGTAAATTATGGTTTAGGGCCTTCTTTGTTTCTTTCCCTAGTATATACAGAACATCTTTTTTGATAAGCAACTCACTGTTTTATAAGCTCGCGCCCTAATGGCCCCGCGCCCTAATGGCCCAGTCCCTGATACAGACGGATCAGACTTCCTTTACAGGTATTTGGTGGCATTTCAAAAAAAAATAATCATTGAGTTATTAATGTCTCATTGTATATGCCAGATCTGTGCATGGATACGGATATATGGATACAAATATCAGGATGCCTGCGGATATCCTCCGCAAATATCCGGATATGAATACAAAAATCTGTGGCCATGCACAGGTCCACGGGGAAATAAAGTGAAAGACCCATTCTGAAAAATTAAAAAAAAATCTGGGAAGAAGAGGGTCCTAAACCTTAATTGTTTTACCCAACTTTTCTCTATAATACAAAAATAAATTTGCATGGGATACTCTCCTAAACTTCTCCCCCAACTTCAAATTATTATTAAAAATAACTAATAAAGTTATACATTTAAAAAAATAAAAGAAGAAAAAAAAAGAATTGAAAATCTAGCGACAAAAAAAGTTTTTTTTAAATAAATTTTTTTTTACACATCACACAATTCTTTTTTCTATTTTTCTCTAAAAAGACTGCTATGATGGTTGTACTCCTTCAAATATATATAAATTATTTGTTGCTGCTAATGCTATAATATCTGCTGAAGGATGCCAGGCGCAATGAAGAATCTTTAAAGTTTAAAAAACATTAACGAGTCATTTATTAGAGGGCATATTTCCATAATTTAAAAATGAGGGATTTACAATGGGGGCAAAACTAAAGAATAAAATAGGGGCAAATATGGGGGCAGAAGTCCCATAAAAACAGGACAACAGACCAGAGGTGTTTCGAAAGAAAAAATTCTTCGAAAATCGGAAATCGAAAATCGAAAAAAATCCAAAAATATCGAAATCGAAAATCGAAAATATTTTTCAAAATCTTCGAAATCGAAAATCGAAAATCGAAAGAAAAATAACCTCGAAAAACGAAAATCGAAAAACGAAAATCGAAAAAAAATTTTTAATAAAAAAATTGAAAAATAAATTTTTGTTATGTTAGGTGGAGAGTTAAAGATTAATAATTTATCATAAGATCAGTGTGGATTAAAAGGGATAATGAAGAATTAAAAGGGATAATATAGTACAGAGCTAGGCCGCTTTACTCATAGAGTTGGGCGATACCTGGCATAGGGTTCCAAATCCACTTAAATCCAAGCAAATCCTCCAATATACCGGAGCCGAAGCATAATATTGTTAGTAGATCAGGCTTTCTCCAATTAGCGCCGCAGGCGAAAATTTTGAGAATTTTTGAAGATCCTTAAGCCAAAAATCGTCATCTTCTGCGCCGCAGGCGAAAATTTTGAGAATTTTGTGAGGCAAATAAGCAGATTTTCTTTTTATTTTCAGCGCCGCAGGCAAAAATTTTGAAAATTTAGGAAGGCCTTATGCGAAAAAATTCACATTATTTTCGTTGTAGCAAAAATTTTAATGGATATCCGCGGAGGCAATCGGTATCCATCCGTATCCGTCCAATTAAAAAAAACACTATCCATATCCGTCCGTATCCGCGGATATCCGCGGGTATCCGGATATTATCCGTATCCATGACCATGCCTGATCCTTAAGCCAAAAATCGTCTTTTTTCTGCGCCGCAGGCGAAAATTTTTTAAATTTATGATGGCCGTTAAGTCAGAATTCGTCATTTTTGGCGCCAAAAATTCAAATTTTTTCAAAAATTCGGAAATCGAAAATCGAAAATATCACAAAATTTCGAAAATCGGAAATCGAAAATCGAAAGGAAAAAAACCTCGAAAATCGAAAAACGAAAATCGAAATTTCGAAACACCTCTTCAACAGACTGAAAAAATTCAAATGAGTTAAAACTAAGGTTGTTCACGGTCGATTAACCGAACTGGAACCAAAAATCGGAGGTCGAAAACCGGCGATAACCGAAAACCAAGTGACTCGGTTACTAACCTGTAGTGAACAATCCTATGTCAAACCCCTAAAAAAGCTTTTCGTACGAGTTTACTTTTGAAACCCTATAACTATCCGAATGTTAGTTAAGGTCAAAAAAGCCAAAAATCGGAAATAGGTTTTCAATCCTGCTCTACACGATGGTATAAGTTTTACTTAAGAAATTTTTGTTCATAGCTCGATCGTATACTCACGGAACTAACTCACGGAACGGATAGGACACGCAATTATCAAATCACGGAATGACCAAAACAAGGAATTATTTAAAAATAGGAATTTTTTTTAAAAATCTGGATATTTTAAAAAAATAAGAATTCTAAACAAACTAGATTACTTTAAGAACAAAATTTAAAAAATTCTGATTTCTAAAATATTCTGTGATTTGAAATTCCTCGAGTTAGCCCCCACACAGCTCGATAGTGTCCTTTGTCAGAACCTGATAGAATATTTTTTCGCATTTCCCCGTAAAATGTTCAAAATCCCCAAAATTAAACTATAAAAAACCTTTTTATTAAAATCCAAATAATCAGCACTAATTTCTTCTTTTCGTTTTCTACCCGGAATTGTCTTTGCTGAATTTCCACTTTTTTTACCTCCTGAACTGATAAAGTCTGAATTGCCAAATCGTGGTTGTCTGAAAGGTTTACACAATTCTAGACTAGCTTCATAAGTTGATTCAACATGAGAATTTCGCTTAAAAGTGCGAAAGTGGTTGTTGTAAGAGCCGGTAATGACGTGTCTAAAATATAAAAAATTAAACGACGTTTTTGCTGTTTATTCACAAATATCTCAAAATTTTTTTAAATAATAATAAAATCAGATCGAGCTGAAAATCGAGCTTTTCTAGGTCTTTCCTATAACATTGAAAAAGTCAAATGAGTAAAACACTAAAATAGCTTTTCGCAGTACGTGTTTACTTTGAGCCCTATAGCTTTTCAAAATGAGAGTCAAGGTAACTCGAAGTCTTTTCATTTTATTAACACTATGAGAGGAGCACCTACTAATCCACTCTATCTATCCCCAAGAAATGAGCTTTCCGGATATGCCCTTTGCCATTTATAAAACTTCCCCTTATCCTCTAGTTAACTCACTCAGTCTTTTCATTTTATTCCTATATTTATATGAAAGAAATCTCTCAAGAATAATAAAAAAATCCTCATAGTAAAAATAAATAAAAAAACCTGTCATCTCCACTCCAACTACATTCAAATTTATCAAAAATCGAATCATTTTCGTAAAGTGTACAAAGTTTTGAGCGTAAACAATCATGCACATGGTAAGTTTCGACTGGTCTATTTTCCATATTTAAATCCCAAACCTTCAAGAAAAGTTGACTTTTAATTTTTAAACTTAACGGAAAATATACATTGACTGTGAGGTAATCTCTTGTTAACAAATATCTTCCACTTCTAGAAAATTTTACATCAGATATTGAGGAAATTATTTCAGAGAAGAAGGAACGGGCTGCTGGATCTTCTTTTTCTTCAAATACTGAAAAAATATTTAAGTTAGAACCAAAAAAAACAAAAATTAAGGCGTCGAGGGGAAATTATTCTAATGAAATTAAAAAATTATTTGCTAATTATTATTAAAGAATCCAGTCTAATTTAACAAAATCAGTAGAAAAAAATAAGACAAAAAATCCTTAACACACAAAAAAATTCCCCTAAGCAAACTTTCATAAAAAAAGGATGTGATTTAGCTGGCCCTAATCATTCGATTTATACATCATTGGATTTGTCTGGTCAAGCTGAGTGACGTGAGTCTAATGGACTTTAACTTTGAGACCAGACACTTATTAAAATACAGCCAACCAAACGTTAGGTTAAGTTATGGATTTTTATCAACATTATTTATAAAAATAAAACTTTTTGCTGGCCCATCACATAGAGCACCGTCCCGCATATCACAAAGACGTATAATTCCCTTTGAAGAGCTATATGCAAAAAGATGGCAATGTTGTTGATGAAATTCAGCGGCTGTTATAACCTAAAAATTGATTATAAAAACTTTCAAATAATCCAAAAAACCTCTGTCAATTCTTCCATATTTGTTGGTTTTATATCCACAATATCTTTAAATTAAAGGAAAATCTCGGAAAAACTCAAAAATGCTTACTAAAGCTCTGATTTGTTATTTCATGATTCCACAAATTTATTCGAAGATCATCAGCTGAAATAAATGTTTCTTGGTCTGAATTGATGCTGATTGAGTTTATATGCTGGAAAATTTTGATTTTTGAGGAAATTCTCAAAGAATTTAAGAAAAATTATTTTTAAAATACCCTACATATGTGTGTGCATTTGCGTAAACCCTTCTAGGTGATGCTTCTACAATAAGTTCCATTGGGACTAGCATTGGTAATTGAAGCGGTGAACCACTTATGAGCCTGCAACTAATAAAGTGGTAAATTCTTTGAAAAATGATAAAAATCTTCGGAAATTTTGAAAAATGTGAAGGTATCAGGAAACCAAAGCCGAAATCCCTAGTTTTGGTAATATTGAAGCGTACAGACCCACTTTTTTCCTCCACAATTTACCCCATCTATTTTTACAAAATGGTTAGACTTTTTCCTTTCTTCCATCCAATTTGCCTTTCTAATTTTTGCCTTAAGTAAATGAGTCTTCTCCAAACTCATACTTGCACTTGTATATAATTAATTAAAAATTTTTTTTCTATTTATTATAGGTATAATGTAATTAATCCTTTTTGTTTGAAAATAAAGTGGTAACATTTTGTAAAAATATATAAAAAAATTTTTTTTAAAAACAAATTGGATGGAAGGAAAAGTCTGACCATTTTGTAAAAATATATGGGGAAAATTGGGGAGGAAAAAGGGGGTCTGTACGCTTCAATATTACCCCAGTTTTTAATCAAAAAAAGTAACAAAAATCGAAAAACCAAAATTCATCAAAAAATCAAAACCTTCGGGTTCCATCATCATATCGCAGATTATATCCACCATCCGCCATTTTTCGTTCTCTTTCTGATATTTTCCATAGTTTTACTGTTTTATCTAAAATTTTAAAAATAATTTAAAATGTTTCCCCTAAAAACCATTTGTTGAAATTATAAAATTTGCAGCATTTTTCTTTTTCATCCATTTTATTTGATTTATTTTTTCTTCAATTTCTAAAGACTTTAAATAGTCAAATTCAGGTTCATGCGATTGGAATGTTGAGTAAACATTGTATTCACTAGTTCTTACACCGTTTAGATAAACACCCTGAAAATTGAAAAGTTGTTTAAACGGGAAATAAGCAAAAAGGTGGATGAAAAGACACAAAGTATTTACATATAATTCCGAGGGTTTCCAATAATGAGAAAAAAACAAACAACCGAAATTTAATTAGCAAATTTAGGTTATATTGAACCTAAAAGACACCATCTTTCCTCCCCATTTGAACAGAATGGTAAAACTTTTCCTTTCTTCCATCTCAATTTTTTGATTGTAGGCAAATATAGAAAGGAAAGTCTGACCAATCTCTAGAAATATAAGAAAAAATTTGGAGGGGAAAAATGGGGTGTCAGGTTCAATATTATCAACTTTTACGCAAAGGGAGCTAAAATATAAGAGTCTGAGACCTAATTCCACAAAATGTCCAAAAAGCCCAAAATATAGAATCCTATGGGATTTAACGAATAATTAAAAAACTTACACTTTGATCACGTTGAAAAATAACTACTCTGCCTCCTTTATCTCCAGTTGCGAGCAATTCACCATCTGAAAATGTAAAAATAAGAATACAAGAAATAAATTTAACCATGAGAAAATTCAACACAGGAGATTATATCTGCTGAAATAAAAAAAAGAAAATTGTTGATAAGAAAAATAAATTTAATGAAGTGGTTTAAGTGAAGGAAAAGGGCAAAACAGGCATGGGAGTTATAGTTATCAGCAAACAAATGATCTGTGACAATAAATTAGGCCCAAAATCCAACTAAAACAAAATATTGGGTAATAGTGTCGTTTCCCAGCCCCCTTTTTTTCCTCCCAATTTTCTACCCTATATTTGTACGGAATGGTCAAATTTTCCCCTTTCTTTCATCAAATTTGCCTTTCCATATTTTGCCTAAAAACAATCAAAAAGATTAATTTTTTATTCATTTCTTTCACAAGGATAAAAAAGTGAGACATGATGCCAAAAATTATAAAAAACATTTTCAATATTGCCAAATCGTTTTCGCCACATAAATTCCGGGAGATAACTTTTATAGGTTTCAGTGTTGTTGCCAGCTTGATGTCTGAATTTTCGCCATGCATCGAAATCATTATCACTCAAACGTAATTTTTCATATAAATCAATAGGTTTGAAATTCTTTAGTTCTTCCATTTTTATTAATTGGGAAAATGATTCTTCTCATTACTCAAAATATGGAAAGGCAAATTTGATGAAAGAAAGGGGAAAATTTTACCATTCCGTACAAACATAGGGTAGAAAATTGGGAGGAAAAAAAGGGGGCTGGGAAACGACACTATTACCGAATATTGAAAGGTAAATGACCAAATACACGCTTAGAGGTCAGTTTCCACTTCTCCATTCTTCTTGTCCTAATACGAAATCTCATTGACTTAATTGCCAGGAAAAAGAGGGAGCGGGGGGAAACAGGGAATAATTGTGACAAAATCCACTAGAACAAAAACGGATGGGAAGGAAAGGGGGCCACTTTATGAAATTGCCAGGAATGGGGTGAGGACAGGGAATAATTGTACAAAATTAACCAAAACAAAACGTAGGGAAGGAATGGGGCCCAATTTATGAGCTAATGAAAAATTAAAAAAACCGTCAGTTGGCGCATCATCAGTTTCAATATTTCCTTTTATTTGAGAAAATCGCCATTGAATTTCATCCGAAAATTCCATGCTTTGTGGTTCAGAACTGCCAGCTCTAGATGAAGATGGCTCAGAACAATCCATTGATGACTGTTGCTTTCTTCTTGGATAAATATTGATTAGCCGCAGTGTGTTCAATTTTTTGATTTGAAAATATTCTTTTTAATTTTTTGTTTACTTTTCTGTTAAAATAAAATTTTCATTCCTATTTTAAGGAAAAATGTTGTAATAAAATGAGGTGAAAAATCAGAAGACAAATTAGGCAGAATGTCATTTGGGAAAGGTTACAGATTGCCACAAATTCGGCATAATGGCACAAAATGGTGGCTGGAAAACAACACCCAAGGCTTCAGCGTGTTTCAAAGAGTCAAAGAGTGAAATTTCTGAGAAAAATTTTAAAAATAAAAGAAGCAAAAAAATTACTTTTTACCTTATGTCAAATAAAAATAATTTTTTTTAGCAAATTAAAAATAAAATCCTTTCTAGACTAACAATAAAAATAACTTTTAGAAAAAATCCTCAATAAATGTGTTTATTTAATAAAAGAATTTTTTTAAACCTCTTAACGGATGTAATAAAAACAAATGAGGAAGAAAATTACTAAAATGCATACCTCTGTTAATTAAAATTCTGTTATGTAATTTTAAAAAATCAGAATTATTTAATGACAAATACTATCAGAATTGATGTTTTAAAATTCAGAATACCTACATGTTAAATAAAATTCAAAATTCTGATTTACTATAAATAGAAGAATCAGAAGTCTGATAAGAATGAGAATTTCTGAAAATCAGAATTCTGATCAGAATTTCTGAAAAACCAGCATTCTGATCGAAATCAGAATTTCCGAAAATCAGAATTCTCAGAATCAGAATTTCTGAAAAATCAGAACTCTGATCATAATTTCTGAAAAATCAGAATCCTTATCAGAATTTCTGAAAATCAGAATTCTGAAATAGTAAAAATCGGAGTGAAAAAAACCAGAATTCTGGTAAATATTCACAGCCAGAATTTTAGGAAATTCTGATTTAAAAAATAATCAGAATTATTTTAAATCAGAATTATTAAATAATAAAAATTCTGATTTGCTAAAAAATAAAATTTGGGATAGGAGAAAATTTAGTATTATTTTATTATTTCTGAAAAAAAATAAAAATTAAACGAAGCAAAATTAATTTAAAAAAATATCTGAAAAATAAAATATTTTTCGCTTTTAAATTAAAAAAAATATTTTTTTTTTGGTGAAAAAGAACAAATAAAAAAGTTTTATAAAAAATATATTAATTAAAATCAAGTTTATTCTCTAAATTTTTTAATTTCATCTAATAGGGCAAATAGGTCGTTGCAATGTTGAGCGTATTCCACTACTTCCACCTCCACTACGTCTTCCCAGAAAAATTCTTTTTAGGGCAACTTGATAATCTTAAGGTTTATAGGTTATAACTTTTTGAAATAAAATTCTGAATTCTGATTCGTCAAAAATAAAAAAATCAGAAATATCGAAAAATCAGAATTCTGATTTGCCAAAAATTGAAATAAAAAATCAGAATTCTAAACCAGAATAAAAATCAGAATAAAGATATCAGAATAAAAATCAGATTCTAAATCAGAATTTTAAATCAGAATTCCAATTTAAACCAGAATTCTGGTCAAATATTTCTCCAATAAATTTATCAAAGAAATACCTCTATTAAATACAGTATAAATTATTGGATTCATTGCAGAATTCTTTAAAAATGGAGAAAATTATTTTAAAAATTTAAAATTTATTTACTGAATATCCCAGCCATGTTATGAACTGAAAAATTAATTAAAAAAAATTTTTTTTTAATTTAAAAATTTTTTATTTACCATTTCGATATGTGGATTGACTGAACAGTAAGCACAAAATTGTACAAAAACATACATTCTAAAAAATATTTAAAATTATTTGTTAATTATTCTCTGATTATTAGATAAAGACCTGAACTAAGACAAGAGTTCGTTGAAAAATTTAGATTACCGAGATCGAGATTTTTCGAGTCATTGATCTCAGTTAGTTCATTGAGAGATACTGAAGTTAAACAGCTTTAAACTTACACAAAAAATGGAGTCCAACAAAGAGTAAAACATCCAAGTATAATACCCAAAACTGTAAATATATAATTAATTTGTATCAGGTCTGTAAATAGTGGGTTTTGGAATTTTTTAAATTAAAAATTTCCACTAGAAGTTCTAATATACACAAATTATAATTAATATGGGTCTAGTATAAAACTAGTCATTAACGATCAGTCTTTGTCGGCACCAGCTCGTACCAAAATTCGTACTCTTACTTAGGTTTAAAACACGGGCGAGCAAAGAAACAGGCAGGTATGAAGTACGAGTACGAGGCCAAAATTAAGGGTGGTACGAAGTAGAGTACGAGCAAAATTGAAAATTATGAACACTGATCGGCACCTATGTGCCTGTCCATCAATTATTCTTGCCTATTGCCAACTCCTTTACTCTTGTATTTATCTTATGATTTTTCCAGTTACGGAAAGTTCTGGCGTTTTTAGGTTCTGATTCCAAGATCCGGAATTTAAATTAAATCCGGTTCAGGTGAAACAACTAATAATTCGCCATAATTTCTCAAAAAAATTACCCCGAACTCCTCTCCGCTCCTTTGCCGCACTTATAGTTCTAGGCCTTGTTTGGAGGCTTTTGCGAAGATTTAGCTCCTTTCTAAAAATTATTAACAAATTTACAACAATTTTAAACACCAAAAAAACACCTTCTTTTATGCCTCCTAACTTTTTCATAAGTAGGCATTGCTGTAGAGTTCCCCCCAATTCTCCCATTTTTATTTTTTAAAATCATTTGTTGAATTTTTAAAGGGTTATTTAAATCTTCTGTTGTCCCTTCACTATTTCTCTTTTTTATTAAAGCTTTAATTATATTATTATTTGGTTGTTTTTGGGTTGGGGAAATTTTTGTTGGAGAGGAAGAATCTTCTTCTTCAATACTGCTTTGTTTACCGAGTGAATTTTCAACTGTAAAAATTTTTTTTATTAAAAATAAGAACAATGATAGAATGATTGGAAGAGTATTTGATCTGTTTGAGGTGAGAGAGAGGAGTAAAAGTTTACCCACAGGCAGGCACAGATTCCGTGCCTTCTGGCAGTTATTATTAGGAACGTTTGGTCATTAAAAATGCTTCTCTACCGACTGAGCTACCAGGGGCTGCTTTCACCTTTTTTTTCTAATAGATTTTAAAACTTCTGCCTAGTAAGCATTTTAAATGATACCCGAAAGCTGCATTCCTTACAATCTTCCTTAAAAACCTGCGACCTCTTGGCAGTTATTACTAGGCTACCGGGGCATCCATTAAGCTACAGGGGCATCGACTAATGCTTTCTCTTTTTCCTTTTTAAACCGTTTAACCCTCGCCTAAGCATTTTAAATGCTCTAGGTGGATCATCCTTACACAACACCCCTTATGGGGAGGCCTTGATCAAATTTCTATTTCTAATTTCCCCAAGAAAACATGCCGTATCCAAAAGATTTCCATTGCTTTTTTGACTGCAAAAGCATTTTTCTTTTAGCTGTTGTAGGGGTTACAGGAGCATCTTCTTCATCTTCAGGTATGTCATTTGGATGTTTAAATGTTACTTTTGGAGTTTGGGGAGAACCAGTTTTTGTTTGGCCGTTGACACGGCTAAGTATTGCATTTGAAGGCGAACTTTCTTTAATATTAGAGCAGTCCTTTTCTTTCCTCACAGGCTGATTAGAATAAAAAATTTTATTTCGAGATTTATAAACCTTAGGAAAATGGAAATAACAACGAGAAATCCTACGAAATAAAAAAATCCAAAACAGTCACACGATTATAATATCGTGGGCAACCTTTCGGGAACCCATAGTTAAGGATAATTTTGATTAAATTAAGCATAATTTCTGAGGTTATCAGAACTAGGGGTGGTACTACAGTAGGAGACTTTAAGCCAAAACGCAAAAGGCCTGGGAACAATTTAGATGGTCTGTTTGTTTAGATTATCAGTAAAAATCCGTTTAGGTAATTAACTTCTATAGCAACATTTATTGAAAGCTCTACAGATGCCGTGGAGATTTTCCACAGAATCTGTACATTTCCCGGTTTTGGTTTTCTCCAGTTCTGTTTCGTGTACAAGATTTATAGGCTATTAAACAGGCATATTGAGAGAGTTACCTCTTCATTATTCGAAGAATCAGCACTTTTATCAGATTTCTCGCTTTTTTCGGGAGAATCCTCGGTACTAGCATCCTCTTCTTCTTCATAGATTATGGAGTGTTGTAGAGGAAGGACTGGAACTGCTGTAGTGGAGTGTGCTCTCCTGGTATCTCAAATTAAAAAATAATTTTAAAAATGTAATTAATTAGAAATATTCAGAACTGCCCTTGAAATGAGAGATTAGCTTTAGCTATAAAACAAAAATATCTTGAATAAGATCGAAATTTAGAGGTTTCAGAGAGCCTGATATTTCAATAAGATGCCTAGAAATTAGATTACATGTCCATGAGATACATACTCTTTATTTAAAATACGACTAATTCGGAACTACAGTCGTCGTTATAAGTAGAGTAAGTCGGGTACCGAGTAATTGGGGAAAACCGAGTTCGAGTAATGCCGAGTTTGCAACTTTATAGGTAAATACCATTTTCATTAAGATTTCTACAAACACATTCCTCATCCTCAAAATACGGAGGTCTATCCACAACTTCCTCTTCATCATCATCATCTTCATCTGCATCTTTTGCAAATTCATCAGACTTTAATTTTAATTTTTATTTAAATAATCCTTTTTAATCTCACAGTTGGCAAGATGTGACTAATTTCATGAAGAATGGTCGATTCGATATGTCTTCGGATTACCTAAAAATATTAATTTTGGGAAAACAGGAAGTACTAGTTCAACAAGAATTTTTAAAATTAAAAAATAGGGCACCTCTATTTTGTCTACTATAGAGAGAGAAAATCGTTCACTATATAGAGGGCTTAAATAACATAGAGGTTATTCTATATAAGTCCCTCAGATGATGTTAAGAAACCCTTAAAAAGTCCATTAAATAGAGCGTACACAATATAGAGGTCTAATTCATTATAAGGTTTATCACAATATCAATAGAAATATAAAATAGTCAATTACAAACCACGAACAATTAAGAGTATGTACATATAATTAAATAAAGCTGTGCGGAAGTAAAAGCAAAAAGAAATCTTTTGATCCGTTATGTCTTTTATTGTCCCTCTGATCTATACTATTTACTGCCACTTTTAGTCGAAATCCGGAAATATTTAATAATAAATCTTTTAAAGCAAATGGTTAGAAAAAAGCGAGAGAGTGTATGTTATATAAGAGGAAAAATCCGGAAAAGACAAAACTTGTCGATCACTAAAGAAAAATAAATATCGAAACATACCCTCGATGAAACGGCCAACTAAATATTTAAAAAGTACAGAAGCAATTTAACTAAGGATTTAAGGAAAAGTTTTTTTTTCTAAATTTTTTGGAAAATGTTAAAGGTCACTGCATTTATTAAGCAGAAAATATTTAAAAAGCATAGGGGAAATAAAGAGAAATATCCAACCTTTTGCCTGTAAATTTGTCTCGCTCGATGTTTAGCAAATGCTTGATAAATCTGAGAAAAAGAATATTTTTTTTCAGAATTTTATAAACGAATATACACCTTGAAGTAAACGAAGAACATTAATAGAGTTGGAATGAAAAAGGAACCAGTAGCAGAGTAAACAGTGTAGGAGGGTAAATCGAGGAATGTGCCTAATAGAAAATTATTTTTTTATGTACATATCTTTTGAGCTGATTGCCTGATATGTTAAAAATCTGAATATGTCGAATCTCGCTGTAAGCTACAACTTGGAGGCTTAAAATTTTTAGATCGGGTTTATTGCCTAGTAGGGTTGGTCCCCGACGGGGGGGGGGGGGGGGGGGGGGGGGTGAGGGCCACGGGGGGACGGAGGAAAAATTTTTACGGGGAAATTTCGGGGATTCAAAAATTTTTTTGATATTGCCTAGACAGCTCCTCCCTCAACTCGATCTACCTAATATTTGGAGGGAGAGGGGCTTATAAGGAGGTTCGACAGTATACCCAGTTAAAGGTAAAGAAAAAAGGAATAGAGGTATTTTCTTCTCTCACATTGCCAAGTTCCATTCAATTCCACTAAATTTCCATGCTCAGCAACTTGTTTCCAGCCGAGTAGAGGGGCTAAACTTATCAATGCAGAGAATGACCAAACAGTAACAATCATTATACAGGCTGTTTTTTTGTTTCGTTTATTTAGGTAAGCAACTGGAGAAGTTATTGCCCAATATCTGAGAGAGAGAAATACAGTAATCTGGAAAATCTGATAAGCACCTATCGAGCCCGACAATAGAAAGATTCCAGATTGAAGCTGTAGAGCAGAGAATATCAGCTGAAAATGGCCAACTTTTAAAATGGGCAGGGTTCAAAATGGTCAATAAACAAAAATTAAAAAATAACCAGATACAAAAATTTGACAAAGAGTATCATTGAAGAGCCATTCGCCTGAAAATTATTGTCCTAATAATTTAGGTTATTATTCAGAGAGGGAATTTAATTGGGTTTAGGACTGTCGTACCATTGTTTCGCAAATTGTAATTAATATTATTCGTACTCATTAGAGTTTTACCGGAAGTTCCGGTTCTGGTTCTGGAAAGTTCCGACGTTTTTTGGCTCCGGTAGATAACAGAGAATCCAAAATTCAAATAGGATCGGATTCGGTTCCTGTCAAAATTTCGGTTCCGGTGAAACTCATGGTACGAAAATGAGACAAAAAATCGAAGCAATGGGCGTGCTTCCCCAAAATTTCTGTTCAAATTTAAAAAATTTTTCTAACCAGCACAAGCATAAACACTCGATAAAGGAAGTACAATCAGCGCCAAGCAAAAATCAGATAAGGCTAAATTTCCAACCAAAAGGTTTGGAACTGTTTGAAGACCTTTATTTTAATTAATTTTGAATATTTTTTGAGGAACTATTAAAAATACGTGGATTTTTATAAAGCACAATAAAAACTAGAAAGTTTGCTAAAATTGTCCACAGCACCAAAAGGAATAAAGCTGAGGCCTAGGAAAATTTTAAAATTTTTTTGGAAATTTTTTGGAAATTTCAAAAAATCACTTTAAGAATATCTGCCAATAAAAATTTTTGTGAAGAAATAAGCTTTAAGGAATTATTATTTAAATTATCTCCAATAAAATCATTTCCCGTTGCTATAATATTTAAAGGTAATTGAACCATTGTTATATTAATTAATTATTTTATTCATTTATTTTATTAAACTAAAAGTTAAAAAATTTTTGGGATAATTTAATTAATTTTCTAAACTGAAAATATTAATTTTTGTGGTCTTGTTAACTGAAAAAATCTTTTTTTTTGGTTTGGAATAAGAACTTAATTTCCACGATTTCAAACGGAACACGATGAAGATGTGAATTTTAATAAAGAAGAGTACTTTCACATTTAAAGAATATTTTTTTTCTGAAGAAAGCACAATGAAAACTAGAAAAAGAATCCGAATCTTTTTGAATTCGAATTATTTAAAAGTACGTTTCAGAATTCTCGTTTCCAAATTCCAAAGTGATTCCAGATTTTCTGGATTCCATTCGAGAATCCTTTGGATGATAAGGCCAAAGGATTCTGGATTCCAAAGCCTTGGACTGCAAAAATTTCAGAACCTTTGGAACTAGAATCAAGGAATCATTAAATCTTTTGGACCAAGTATCCTAATTTTTTTGGAATTAGAATTATTTAAAATTCGGGTATTAAAAACGCTCCTTCAGAGATTTCCTTTAATATACTACAAATCAAAAAAATCCTTAAAATAAACTTTATGTAAATTTTCCTGTTTTCTTAATTTATTCCAAGTACACTATACTATTACATTAATGACGGAATTAATAAAATATTCTAAAAATAATTTATTCGAAAATATTTTTAAATAAAAGTCCAAAGGAGGAAGTATTTATTTATTTTTGTTTTATTTACTTCACGTTTAAAGACATATTAGACATGTAAAACAATTTTAAATAAAAATTTATATTTGGAATAAATGACAGATTTATAAGCACGCAACGAATTTTAGAATAATTTTTATTTAGACGAAATGCGTGGCCAATGGATTGAATGATGGTCAAGGCCTGGATTTTTCACTACAGAGTTCAGTTCGAAATATTTATTAACTTTCTGGGCCAAATATGGATATAATTTTTTGTGATTTTAGTCCAGAGCATTGCCAACCCGAATATATTACAGGTTGACTCAAAATTAACCAAGCACAACGTTATTCAAATTAAAGACAATGAGGTCAAATAAAAATATATGATAGAGAATTAAATAAGGAACAACAATAAGCAAGAATTCTCAAAGTGCCCATCTTTTACCTGGATACAAAGTCGAATTTTGGGCAATAGTTCCTACCACCTCGATTTGAGATTTTCTCTCATTCCCGAACTAGTTATTTCCGAAGCGACTCCAAATTTTTGGGGTATTGAGCTCAGACCCTTGTTTCCTAAGACAATCAAAAAGATTAGCCATCGGATTCAAATCCGATAAGCAAGGTGGCCATCCTTGAGAGGCGTTAAAGTTGGATAAATTAGCTAAGGAAAAAGGTATGCTGTTTCCACCTCACGCTTTTTAAAAGTCGGCGTTCATTCCTTAATTCTAAAAAATTGGCTTTCAAAAACCAAAACAATTTTGGCTTTTTTGCGCAAAATATTGGCTTATATTCTTTCACATTATTTTAGAAAAAAGGGATAAAAAGGAGTGAAAATAACAAGCAAATATAATTTATTTTTAAATGTTAAACAAAAAATTGAAGATTTAAAACTATTATTTCTGTCTCTAATATTTAAAAAGTATATATTTACTGCTAATTTTGGATTATGAGAGAAATATATATTTAACTAAAATCCTTTCTTTAATTAATTTAAAAATAAAATGAAGAAAATCAATAGAAAAAATTTTTTGAAGTTATTTAACTTCGGGATTATTAACTTTTGGTACTTAAAGGAATAAGGAAACCAAAAAGGAATACCTTAAAGGAATAAGGATAAAGGTACAAACCAGAGATTAGAACTGCCGTATTTTAAAAAAGGAAGGTTAAATGGAAGATGAAAGATTGAAGCAAAAGAGACCCTATCCCTGATTCGGGAGCAGGCCAACGTATCGCGAGCCTAACGTTCCGCAAAGCTGTAACTTCGTTCAAATCTGGAACGAATCCGGGACGCCTTGGTATGGTTCGATGCTTCTTGACGAGCTGAATCGAACCTTATCAGGGCGTCCCGGATTCGACTATTTTGAAGGAAGTTATAGCTCTGCGGTATGTTGGGGTGTACCCCCTGGTTCAAATAATTATCGTTTCAAGTCGAGCCGTTTCGAGATACTTTAGAGTTAAATAAACGATATCCTATCCATTCCGAAGGAATGGATAGGATCAGTTTGGCATTTAAATTATTGAGAGAAATACTCTCAATAAAAAATTTAAATAAATATTTAAAATAAAAAATAATTAAAAAATAAAAATAGATTTGCTGGTCATTAAAAAAAGAATTTTTTCAAAAAATTAAAAAAAAAATAAAAAAATTTTCTAATTTAACAATTAAAAATGTACATAAATTGTTTTGTTTTCTCTCCCTCACACATTAACTTAAAAAAAAAGAAAATTAAAACTGTGCCACTTTTATGGAAGCAATTAGCTTTAGGCAAAAAGGAATGACAAAAGTAAAACAATAAAAAAACTTTTTTCCAACAGTTTTAGAATTAGGAGTATAAAAACAAGAAAATAAAACTTTAAAAATAAAACTTGAATAAAATTTTAAAAAAAAAGTTGGTTAAATAAAACTTGAAATAATGGGTAAAAAAATAAACTTGGAGAAAATAAACTTTAAATAAGCTTGATCTAAAAGAACTTTAAATAAACTAAATAGATCAAGCTTATTTAAAGTTTTTAAAAACAAGTTTATTTTTAACCCATTATTTCAAGTTGTATTTAACCAACTTTTTATTTTATTCAAGTTTTATTTGGAAAAATAAACTTGGATAAATAAGCCTGAAATACAAAACTTGGATAAATAAAACTTGAAAATACAAAACTTGAATTAAGCTTTAAAAAATTAAACTTGGAAAGTAGAAATACTTTAAATATAAGTAAACTTGAAAAAAATAAAAACTTGAATAAATTAAAGTAGAAACTTAGATAAAATAAACTTTAAATTAAAAGTACAACTTGAAAAGAAGTAAAACTTTTTAAGTTTATTTTTCTTGGGTAAATGTAGGCAATTAAAAAGAGTAGAAAAGCAAACAGGAATAAGGTCAATAAAAAGAACAAAAACAACCGGAAACTTGAAAAATTCGAAATTTTAAAGGAAGAAAACTTAAAGGAAAAAACAAAAAATTAAATCATGAATTAAATTTTTGATTTTTTTGAAAATTTCTAGTAAAAGCAAATCAACGCCTTTACTCTAGTAGAAAGTCTGCTGATGAGACCAAAAGAAGAAAATAAACGATTAGGGCCTCCATTTAGGATAACTAATAGAGTTCGAAATTTGAAAAATGCCGGATCCCGTTTTGGGATTTCACAATTTTTTCCTATCCGAACCGAATTTCCGGATCAAAATCACGAGAATCCGGTTCGCAGTTCGGTATCCGATTCGAATTCTAATAATTAAAAATGCCGGAGAGACCGTCGTTAGTTGAAAGTTCTCCCAATTTCACCGCCCCTTTGAGTGGGGATCAGACCTGCACGAAACGTTTCGTTTCGTTGTTTCGTTATATTTTTCCTGTTTCGTTTTGTTTCGTGACGAAACAGTTTTTAATTTGTTTCGTTTCGTCCGAAAAAAGTTTGGAGTTTCGTACAAGTATGATGGTGATGGAAAAATAAATAAAGCAGCCGACAGGTAATTGAAGAAAATAGGGCAATTAATAATTAACATTAAAAACCTTTATAAAATTCGAAAATAAATTAAAAATACAAAATTCTCCAAACAAAAATTAAAAAATAAATTTAATTTAACGTAAAATGCTCTTCTCATTTTCTTCCAGCATTTTTTAATTGTTTTCAGAAAAGTATAGAGAAGAGCGGAAATGTTTGTTTTCTCTGGAAATGACAAGAAGACGAGAAAAGAAAAAAGAAAAACAAATTTTTGTCACCTTATTTGTCACGCAATTTCTTTTATTTTATAGAAAATGGAAGAAGCTACAACTATAGAAATTAGTGGGTGGTCTAGAAAGTGGGGGGGGGGGGGGGGGGTTTTAAAGGAGAAATTAGTAAAAGTTTTTTTTAAATTTTTTTATTTTAAAAATTAATTGAAATTTAAATTAAAAATAATAAATTATGATAATCTAGTTGTCTAAATTTTGCATTACTTTATTTTAATCGTAATGCGAGGACGAGATATTTGAGGATTAATTAAGTATAAAGTTGGTGATAAAAATGATAAAAAAGAGTTAATTTTAGAAATATAAACTAGTGATATTAAATTAGAAATTTATGGAAAAAATAGTTTTTGGCGAGGCAACGCAAGGGGGAATGAGCAATTATTCCCCCTTTCAGCATCGCTGATAGGGGGAATATTCCTTTTTAAGCATTGAGAATTCTAGAAGATCAAGAGCAGAATTGGGTCGGAATTCCGATTTCCGACGTTTTTTCCTTCCGATTTCCGAAAAAAAATTTGATTTCAGATTTCCGAGACCACTGACTGTTTCGATCCACCTCTGATAAAGAGAACAGATTTCTTCCTTTTTTAGCAACCGAATTTTGAATGCCCGGACTTTTTGTTTCGGATATCAGGAACTGCCAACCCTATTTATATCAGACCTGGTCATGGATACGGATACAGATAATACCAAAATTCCTACGGATATCCGCCTGTATCCACCGTAAATATCCGGATACGGATACCAAAATTAGTATCCTTGACCAGGTCTGATTTATATTAAACTACAAAAGAATCCAATGACATTATTTTAAATTCAAAAATAAAATTGATGAGGGAAAGAATAAGACTAATACCTAAATTCTTAAATTTTATTACACAATAAATTCAAATTTTTCATTCGAAAAATTAAATACTAACTAGTAAGCTAAAGTTTTAAGAAAATTGTTAAACATTAATATTAAATTAATTTTAATTGTTTTACAGCAAATAAAAGAATTTTTTTTAAATTTAATATTAAGCAAAAGAATAATAAAATTTAATTAAAATATAAAAAAAATTATGAGAGGGAAAGTCATAAGAATGAAATAATTTCCCCTAAATTAAAAAAAGGAAATTTCCCTTAAAAATTTGATAATAAATTTTAAAAAATCTCAGTTTTGTCCCAAAGAAAATTTTTTTCTTTAAAAAAGATTTTGCCCAGTCTTTAGTAAAAAATAAAATTTCTGGACAAAACGCGCGCCAGTCAACCATGGATATGAACACCTCTTCCCTTCCAAACATTATTATAACATTCTCTTCCTTAAACTGTGTGGAAAGTCTAAATGAGAGGAGGAGGTGAAGGGAAGGAAATGAGAGAGAGAGAAAGGGGAATCGATGGGTTAATGAAATTCCCTGTCCTTTTTTATTTCTTGGGGCGCTCAAGCTAAACTTTTGTTAAGTAAAAAAAGAAAAGGGAGGCTTATTAGCATCATTTGACACTGCGACTCTTTTAAAAGTAAAAAAAAATAAAAGAAAAAAGTGCCAGAATTGTAGAAAATGAATAAATTGCGCGAATCTAAGGATTTGCATAATTATAGTAAGCATTAGTAGTTATTCTCAACCAAGTAAGAATAAATGAAGACAGCTCTGGTTGGAACCAAACCCTTCGAGGTGAAAAAACCCACCCTTTGAGGAAATTTTTTTTTTAAATTTTGGACACTAGCAGAAATGTTAGTGTTGTGGAGTTTGACTTCATTTAAGTCTCGAAGTGTTAGTGATGCAATTAAGTTAAGTTCAGTCATTGGGCACAGTGTTGATACGTTAATGTAGTGCTGCAGTGGACTTCTCTGAGTGTTCACGAGATACTTATGGAAAAGTGAAGGTAACAGACTTTTGGGCAAGCAGTGCGACGATCAAGCAGGTGTAACCCCAAATCAGGACGTGCGATTTGCCTTGTTTGGATCTGATGTGTGCGATGTGAGTCTGCTGTTGCAAGAGAACAAATGATGTGGATAAAGATGACAAATTTGTGATTTTTGTAATTGTTGTATTGTAATTTTAATTGTTGTTTTTTTCATTACAACCTTGTCATCCCACAGTTATTTGTATTTTGTCTGTGAGTCGAGTGCTAGTGTGTGTGTAGCTGGGCAATTGTCACTGATCTCCTTCGTCTTTTCCAGTTCCAATCCCTTCGCCTACACATTGTACATTTCAAATTTTAGAATTAAAATAATTCCTCTACAGGGCTTTAGAAAAAGTATAGGCAAGTAAATCCGAACCTCTAATCAAACTTTCGAATTAAAATAATTCCTCTACAGGGCTTTAGAAAAAGTATAGGCAAGTAAATCCGAACCTCTAATCAAACTTTCGAATTAAAATAATTCCTCTACAGGGCTTTAGAAAAAGTATAGGCAAGTAAATCCGAACCTCTAATCAAACTTTCGAATTAAAATAATTCCTCTACAGGGCTTTAGAAAAAGTATAGGCAAGTAAATCCGAACCCCTAATCAAGTTTTCGAATTAGAATAATCCCTCTACATTGCTTTACCATCTATATGTGTTTAGGAATACCATGCTAATGAATCAACTACTCATCTCATCATTGACGAGGTTATACAAACAAGTTTCTCAATGATGGTTCACCTCCTTCGCAAATTACCACTTGTCCAATCCGTTTTGCTCACTGGAGATATAAGAATCTCGGCACTTAAAAAACTCCCTGAAGTGATTCAGTGGTTACGGTCTTGAAAGCATAACTGATCAAATGGAAAAATGCGACAAAGTATCAGTCACAATTTTGGAAAGATGCTATTGCTCGCATCTAATAATAACTGAATGCGTCGAATATTCATCATACGAAAAACACGCGAAAGAGTTATCGCAGCAGCAAAACGCACAGGATCAACAAAGCTTGGAATAAATCTTCCTGTAAACGACGTTCTACTGATACTTCTAAATGTAAGAGGAATGATCGAACAAGACACCGTACCATACTTGCTATCTTCACCAGAACAAATTAAAGCTTGATTACCATTGCAAAAGCGCTGGAGCACCGAGATCATCAAGGTGGTGCCATCATTTCTTTACACGTTCCAATGCGAAAGAATAAGAAAAGACTCCTACGAGCTGCTGAGCCAGGCACTAAAGCGCCTGCTGAGCCAGGCACTAAAGCGCCTGGCTCAGCAGCTCGCGCAGACGCATGACTTTTTGAAGGATAGTAGGCGAGCGACGGTCGCATTGTCCAGGGTACAGAGCGGATTAATTATTATTGCCGATTTTAAAGCCATGAATATAAGGAGAAACTTGGAGAAGATTCACCTCTATAGCAAAACGACTCACCCATTGTTGGTGAACGCTATTTGGAAGTAATGGAAAATGAAGAACCAACACTTGACCCGAATGGTACTCAATGACTTAAAAGGAAGGTCGATTGAAGATAAAGTGGAAGAAGTCAAGCTAATACGTGGTGGCGAATTAAGAACAGGAAGAGAACAAATTATTTGCAACAGATGTGGAAATCTACATTTGGCAAGAGACGTAGACGAAGATGAGAAAGGAAGAAGTTGAAGAATGGAGGCACAGACTTGGAGCACATGTTAAAGCTGTAAATTGTGGTGTGTTTAAAAAAATAAAATGAAAAATAAACAAAATTGAAAATTTGGGAAATTAAGTAACGGTCTTCCACGGGGTTGGAGGTGTAAGGTGTACCTTGATTCGGCCGGGAAAGGATGGAAAAAAGAAACTAGTCTCGCTGGGAAAGGATTGAATAAGAGGAGGAGAATGACAAACAAGGCCATAGGATAAAACTAAGTAGAGAATAGTGGAAAAGCGATAAGTCGACTGGATCGTAGTCAGTTGGAAAGTAATCAACAGAAAAGTGAATAACCGGCCGAAGAAGCTAAGAGCTTATTCATTGATAATTCCTTGCAAGCGCATATATTGCCGGGCAAGTCGGTCTCATAACCGACCAGCAGCACCGGACGCTTTCGGCCGGGCAAGGATGAATAAGGGGAGGAGAATGACAAATAAAGCCATAGGTTATCCCAATATAGCCTACCCTCTTCTCCGCAAATATCACCGGAATCGCCTCTCGGGACCTTAACATCGCACGTAACCAACCCAACATCCCAATACCATCCTGGCCCAGCACTAACTTTACTATACATTTATGAATCTAAAAATCTTAAGAGGTCGACTAAATCTTAATTTACATTTAGACTTAATTTATTTTACGACCATATTAACCAAATTTGAAAATAAATATTACAAAACAGAATAAAACAAAAAATATATTTTATATATCAACACAAACAAATTTTCATTTCTTCAAATTTTAAGCGGGAAGTTGAATGGTGCTCCTGAATAATTATTAAAAATTTAAAATAAATTTTAAAAATTTAGTAAAGTTATCCCACAACGCAAGGACGTATCCAGCCCCTTTTCCCCCATTTCGGAGGGGGTTCTAGCCCCCCTGGATACGCCCTTGACACAACGGATAACTATATTCAATCTAACAAGTGAATATCCCAACTTTGACCAAAAATTTTTCGATGTAATGCTACGCTTACATAAAAATCGCGCGCGACACGCGACATGTCGCCGGCGACAATCGCTAGTTGTGTGCTTACATAAAATCGGCGACTTCCGCAAAAACGACTGTCGCAAAGCGACAAAACGCTATTTTTATGTAAGCGTAGCATAACGCACATCATTGTGTAGACCGGGGTAGGTTTACCAGCTAGTGGGTAGCCAGGGGGGTTAAAGCTCCCTCTGAATTTTTTTAAAATTTTTGCAACTCTAGTTGAGTGCAGGCCCGTAGCCAGGGGGTAGAGGGCACAGAAAAATATTCCCTCCCTTGGCCCCCTCCCCCTGAAAAAATCCTTGCTACGGGCCTGGTTGAGTACTCTCGCAAGACTTGTTTAAATTAAATAAAATATACTTTTGTTGGACCACTTTGCTAACATAAAGATAGAAGAAATCGGCATACAAAACAGTTTGAACGATTCCAGCAACCAAAGCAATAATGTCCAAAAAATCTTCTAAATTTTAAAATTGAAAAATAAAATTTAAAAAAAATTTTCAAACCCATATAATAACGATAAACCCAATTGAGGATATAAAGACCGCGATAAATACCTGAAAAAATTATTTTGAATGAAAAATAAAAAAAAGTTAAACCTAGAGCAAAAAGATAATGGGCAGTTATAGTTTCTGCCGATCCTGTTTTTGAAAGCATAAAAAGCTGGGGCATAATAGCAACTGATTCAAGGTAGATACTGAAAGTCCAAAGCACCTAGAAATTAAAGAGGAATATTTTTCATTAAATAATTTTAAAATTATTTTTGACTTTAAATAATTCTCCAGGGATAAGGTTGGTTGATCCGAATATCCGAAACAGAAAAGGCTTAGATATCAGGGTTAGAGACCGGCAAAATCGCACTTCCGGGATCCCGAGTCGTGATTTTTTTCTTAACCGATGCCGGGACGGGATCCCGACCGGGATTCGGGATTTTTTTCAAAATAAAAAATTTGAACTTTTTATGAATAAAGTGCATAAAATACTGCAATTTATACTAAGTAAATAAAATTAAATTTGTAGAAATATCAATAATTTTTTATAATTGGATTGTCCTCTCCTTTAATTCCCTCTATAATAGATTTAGAGGGATATCGGTGGATTAATCAACAGGTCCCTTGATAAAATCCCACTATATACTAATATCCCTCCGCTTTATCTCCAGTAAAGACTCAAATTTTCTCCCGTTTTTGCGCCGCAGGCGAAAATTTGGGGAATTTTGGAAGATCCTTAAGCCAGATTTCTTCCTTTTTCAGCGCCGCAGGCGAAAATTTTGAAAATTATAAAAATCCCGAAAATTATAAAATAATGTCCGGGATCCCGAGTCGGGATTTTATTTTTTAACCGATGCCGAGACGGGATCCCGAGGGAGTAATTCCGAAAAAATCCCGGATCCCGAAAATCAAAAAAATCCGGGACGATCGAAAATGGAGCAAAAAAGGGGGCCCCAGACGAAATTTTTGAGAATTTTGGAAGGCTAGAAGTCCCTGAAAAGAGGTAAAAGGGACACCCTGTCAGATATAGAAAAGTTCTGAATCAAATATAGCTAGAGATTCAGGATATTCAGTTTTCCAAGACAATTTTCTTGGGAGAAACAAAATTCTTTTCATGGGCTACGTTTAAAAAATCAGTTAAATGGGGAGGCGAAAGTAAAAATTGATAAAATGAAAGAAAACCTAAGATTTTGTGTAAAATTAATAAAAACCTCAAAAAAGGAAAAGTCGTGGTTGATTAAAAGCGCCAAAACAAAACTGGGGAGGACAAGAAATTCAATTCGACAAGTATCGTGATTTCTAAAAAAAATATTTAAATTAGGAAATCTTATGAGATAAAAAAGACCCTATCCCACAAGAAGACCGGAATCGTTTTTTTCAATACCTGAAAGGAAAGGAAAAATGAGACGAATGGACACGGACAAACAAAACACGGACGGACAAGGACAGTCCATATACGAACGTCTGTCCGAGTCCATCCGTGCCTTGTCTGTCCGAGTCCGTCCAAGTTTTGTCTGTCCAAGTCCGTTCGCCTCCATTTTTCTTTCCTTGCAGGTATTGAAAAAACGATCCCGCCCTTCTTTTGGAATAGGGCCAAAAAAAATACCTATCAAAAGTGGCTCTAAATTTTTGGTAAATGAAGTAAACTGTTGCTACTGACGAAGAAATGAAGAATAACTAGAAAAATTGTCTGATAAAAAATATCTTTTAATTTTCCCAAAAAAACCTTCATAACAGTATTATAAATTGACACAAAATTTGTAAAAATGTCCAAATAACGGCACACAAAAACTAACAAAAATAAAACTTGGGACCTTCCAGAAAGGCCTAAAAAGTATTTAATTTTTTAAATTATTTATTCGAAAATAACCTGCACAGGATCTTGTTTTCCATATTTTCCACAACAAAATGAGAATTGCTACCAAATGAGCTAAGTCAGCTGATAAACGAAAAATGTTCATTTCATAATTCTTTTGCTAAAATTTGAAAAATTAGGTAATCCTTAAGATATTGGTCTCTAGAAAAAATTAGTAAAAAATGCTCCTTCAATATTCTTGAGGCTTACAGTAAGTAATCGAGGGTGTTGAGTCTAGGGATCAATGATCTTAAGGATTACCAAAGATTAGGTAGAAATAAATTTGTTTAATTGAATGAGGAACGGTTTTAAATAATAGAGAAATTGGTGAACGGAGGGAAATTTGACTTGTTCTTTTAAAAAACCTTGACCTTGATTCTTGATTTTGTCTGAGGACCTTGACCAGACTCTTAACAAGTCAAGAAAAAATCGGGGAAAATTAAATGACTTGATCATAATCCAGGAAAAATTAAAGCCTGGATTAGAGATCGAGCTGGGTCTGGACCAAGGCGTGGGTTTTTCCTGTATCCAGAGTCCAGGAACATCCGACCCGGGTCAATAAATCAACCCGGGAACCCAGGAACAGACCTAGGCTTTTCAAAAATCTCGATCTCTAGTCTGGATCCAGATACCGTCCGATCTCGACAAAAAAAAGTCTCGTGAAAATTCATAACAGAAGGTCCTGAGAAAGAAAGAACACGATAGCTAAAAAATAATAAAAAACAAAAAAGTTCCAACCCAAAAATGCAAAATCTCAAAAACTTTTTTTTTGTTTTTGCAAAAATAAACAACAGAAAAAGCGAAATATACTGAAAGAGACAGTGAAACGTTTACATTTTTTGGCATAAAAATTAAAAATATTTTTGGCGTTCTGTATTTAATTCTGCATATTCTGACTTGTCAATAAACTTTTTTTGTCTTTTTACTTACAACCGCATTGCAAATCTTTACAAAAAGAGAAAAGTTTTCGTATCCCCTCAAAATCTCTATTCCTTAAAATCTCTACTGGGGTAAAATGCCTTATAATCTCTACAGAGCTAAAATGCATTAAAATCTCTACTCGGCTAAAAATGATTAAAATAACTATTCCTTAAAATCTCTATTCCTCATAATCTCTACACGGTGAAATGCCTTAAAATCTCTACACGGCCAAAAATAGGATAAAATGTCTATTTTTCATTGGAAGCCTTTTGAGTACCAACGTTAAGTGCGGAAACGTTGTTCTGATTTCTGGGATTATCTTTTGATATTATTTTGCTTGTATAGTTTTTGCCGCTGCTGATTAACCCAGTCATGTCCAGCGGAACGACAGCAGCCGCTTCGATACAATCGCCGCAAGCAAAATGAACACGACTGCAGTGAAGCAGTCGTGTAGTATATCTTCGATATTTACGGCGGATACAGGCGGATATCCGCAGCCATTTTGAAATTGTATCCATATCCGTATCTATTACCAAGTCTGGTTTTTCCAGCGAAAGATTCAGATGGTACACTTTAGTTGAGACTCAACCGTCTATTTGCGCGGTGTAGAGATTTTAATTATTATTACCCCAGTAGAGATTTTAAGGAATAGTTATTTTAAGGAATAGAGATTTTAAGCATTTTTAGCCTAGTAGAGATTTTGAGGAATAGCGATTTTAAGGAATAGAGATTTTGTATGGGAGCCAAAGTTTTTTTTCATTTTTTGTTAGAGCATGTAGGAATTTAAGTTTTGTGATTATGATTAATATGTAGATGATACATAATATTTGCACAAACTCGTTTATCTTTCCAACTTTTATTTGTCTTTTGTTATCATTTGAAAGTAAAAATCCATAAATAAATCTTAATTATAGAAAAGCTATTGGTTAAGGCGAAAAATATCTAGATTGTTTACAATAAGGGTTAAGTGTCGAATCCTACAGCTGGAAAATAACATTTTTGGGTACTTATTGGTTATCCCTAAGTAGTTTTTGCGGACATTTTATGCGGACTCGTTTATGTACGAAAAGGTCAAAGGTTCTCCCTTCCTCGATTTCACTCAATTTTCTCTGTGGCATTTTTCAATGAGGGCATCAATAAAGAAAAGATTAATTTTAAATACAAATGACGGAAAAATGAGGTGAGGGTCTTCCAAAATATAGACCAGTCAAAACACAGTTTTGTCAATTCGTCCAAATTAATCAGACAAAACAAAAATTGGTCCGGAAAATTGGTTCAGAAATAGGTCCAGACAAAAAAAGTTTTCTAGATTATGTTCTATTTTGTCCATGGGATGTGCTTTCTTTGAAAATATCAGTCTATTTATGACATGAGTCATCAGCTTCTAAATCAGAACCTGTTAAAGTTGGGTGTGTGTACCAGTATTGGTACATATTAACTCTCTTATTTCCAGTAAAGCTTGTACTTAAAATATTGATCCTGATGTTTTGTGTTGTTTATATTTGTTGACATTCAAAAAATTAATCTTTTCTTTATTGATGCCCTCATTGAAAAATGCCACAGGGAAAATTGAGTGAAATCGAGGAAGGGAGAACCTTTGACCTTTTCGTACATAAACGAGTCCTCATAAAATGTCCGCAAAAACTACTTAGGGATAACCAATAAGTACCCATTTTTGAAAATAGGTAGTGGAAAATAACCCCTAACCTGCCTTTTTACTTGAATACAATCAAATTTCCACAAAATAAATTATAGAGTTCCTAGCAGGGGTAAGCACATTGCGTTTTGCGTTATTTGCGTTATTTTTTGGCCTTGCGTTGCGTCTTGCGTTTTTTGAGATTGTCTTTTGCGTGGTATATTTTTCTAAATTCAAAAGAAAAATTTTTGTTGTTTTTGAAGTTTATTTTTCTTTCAGATAACCTTAACTTTTCTCATTCAACTTATTCAAAATGTCCATATCAACAATTCGAAGACAGGTGAAAAACGTGGCCTTGAATTATACAAATGCACAGGTTAAAGTGCGAGAGGCTACGAGGTTTTCTTTAAACTTTAACTTATTTAAATAAATTCTAGCAATGATCCATGGGGTCCAACAACAGCATTAATGTCAGAAATTGCTGATATGACACATGATCCAATTCAATTTAATGAAATAATGTCAGTAATTTGGAAAAGGCTGAATGACCACGGAAAGAATTGGAGACATGTAAATTTTTTGATTGGAGTTTGTTTTTTATTTTCAAAATTCAGGTCTATAAAAGTATGGTTCTTCTTGACTATTTAATTAAATGTGGAAGTGAACGAGTTGCACAACAATGCAAAGAAAATATATTTTCTGTGGAAACATTAAAGGTTTTTAATTTTTTGGAGTGTGTTTTGGGGTGTTTTAACATTTATTTTTTTCCCTATGGTTCATATTTCAGCTTTCAAGTCCTAGGAGGAGAGACAATCCTTTCAGGTCTAATTGTTAGGCTTTTTATGTTCGGATTATTTTTGAACAATTAGAAACCTTGTATTTTATCTACTTAATTTTCATTTTTTAAAATCTATGACAAGATCCTCTATCCTAAGCTCAAGGATTTATTCTAATTAGGGTTGGAGTTCTGGCCAACGTTCAACTCATTTTTTCTTGCCTCATTTTTATCGGATGGCCCGACCGAGTCTTTTTCTTGCCAAAATTTGATGCCGACTCGACTCTAGTTCTAATTGAGAAAATTTTTCCTATTCTTAAAATCAATGTCTTTTTATTTTTCTATGTTTCTTTTATTATTTCATTAAAATATTTTTCAGGATTTTCAACACATTGAAGAAAATCGTGATCAAGGTTTAAATGTCCGAACAAAAGCAAAACAAATGGTTGCCCTCCTAACTGACGACGAAAAACTAAAAAATGAAAGAGCTCGTTTTATGTTAACTCGGAAACGTTTTATGAATAGTGAAACTTCTGGAATTTCCTCTGACGGAACGAGAAGAGCTGGGACAAGTCGTAGACGAACAATCGATTCTAATGGCGGACCTGTCGATCCAGAATTTGAAGAGGCTAGGCCTTCCTCTTTGGGCGAAGAGGAAATGCAATTGCAAATTGCTTTGGCACTTTCTAAAGAAGAATGTGAAAAAGAACAAGAAATGAGACGTGGGGATGATGTTCGATTACAGGTTTGAAAATTAAGGGAGGGATTCTTTTGGGAATTTTTATCGAGTCTATAACTGCTGTTAAGAGCTTTTTAACAGCCTTGAACCCTTTTTAGACTTTTCAAGAATTTATATTTAAGATAGCGATTGAAGAAAGCAGACGTGAGATGGCGGCAAGATCTTCTAGCTTGAGTTCTCCCACAGGACAAGATTCTCCACAAAAACCGAGCACCTCGAAATCACAGGTTTCACCTTTTATAACAGAGGGAGGGAATAAAAATTTTATTTTTTAGGGAGCTCTAAACAATTTACTTTCGCTCGGTCTAGACGAAGTTTTTAGCAAAACGGCAGAGAATAACGCACTCATAAATATGCAACAACCTGCTCAGAACGATCCTTGGTCTCCTCGTCCATCAACAACAATTCCAATGATGGCTGGAGGGATAGTTCCACCTTCCCTTCCATTTAACGAGTCTACTTTAATTCCTTCATCTGCTCAAAATGACCCTTGGGCAGCCCCAGCAGTTCAACCTGTAACGACTACAAAACTTCCAACAACATCAGAAAGGTCCCAAGAATTGGAAGATATTTTTGGATGTTCTTCCCAAACAACATTAAATCAACCTTTACCTTTGGCACCAAATAATGATCCGTGGGCGGCTTTTGAAAATCAAAATATGCAAAATAACAGCACCCCGACACAACAAAATGGGACAAAAATTGGACAACAACGTAACAAAATAAAAACACCTGAATCGTTTTTGGGAGGTTATTTTATACAGGATTTTTTAAAATAAATTATGTTTAATATTTAGAAAATTCTGGTCTAGTCAATTTGGATAATCTTCTTGGACCAACTGGTTCTCAAGTTCCTAAAAAGGGTATAATTTTTGAATTTTTTCTGTGAATTCGTTTATAGTAAAAGCTGGGGCATGCTTATTTGGATAGGGGCTAACTGAATTTTTGGAAAGATGATTTTTTCTTGGGGGCCAACCTGCCCCTCTTTAATATGTTTTTTTGTCTATATACGTTTAACCGACATAGGAACTTTAAACCAACATTGGGACAACGTTAGCCTGCGGTTTCCTAGTAACTTAATTATATTTGGAGATTGAACCGAAGACAAGATTTGTTCCAAAATCTCAGTTATTGAGAAAGGGATCGATCCTGAATTTTGATCAATCCCCAAGTTAAATCTCTAACTATAAGTAGGGTTGCCGTTTTAGAGTCGGGCAGACGTTTGAGTCATTTTTTCGGGCCTAATTTTTATCGAGTCGGGCATCGAGTCTTCTTTGGGCCAAAATTCGATGCCCGACTCGATCTTTCGGACCGGAACGGCAACCCTAATTGTAAGGTCTATATTGTATTAGAATTTCTAATATTTAAACAACTTTTTAGCCACAAACCCTTTCCTAATCGGTTCTGCCGCTTCAGCTGCCGCAGCAACTAAAAACAATCCATTTCTTGCAAATGAACGTCCATCCCCTTCGCTCAACGAAATGTTACAGGCTAAACAAGGTGGTGGGGGTTTTGTAACAAATGGTGGAAATATTTCTGGTCAAACTACTGCCCCAAGCAATCCAGCACCGAATAATGCTTTTAATGCGGCCGGTCTAATTTAAAGAGATAATGAATGAGAAGATGAGTGTTTAAATTAATTTTGGAGGTTTAAAAGGAATTTCGAGTCTAGACTTTTGAGTCTCGTTTGGGGTAATTTGAGTCGAGTTTTTAATTTAATTGAGGTGGCCATGAAAGTTTTTACAAAGGAAATGAGACTCGATCAACGACAATATGTATGAACCGGGTTTCGGGACCTGTTTCCCGGTTTTTTTGAAGCAACCGGGATGAAACCGGGAACGAGAATTCCTGGTTCATCCGGTCCGGCTTTCTCCCGATCAACTTTCAGAACTCGTTTCTCGGACCCTGTTTTTTCAAAATTCCGATCTCTATGTATTGAACAAAACAGTTGAGGACTCAAAAGCTAGACTCTCAAATATAATATTTGACAAAATTTTTATTTTCCCATATTCAACTTTCCAAATACCCTCTTATTCATGAGTTCAAAATCCTAAAAAAAAGAAATTTCACAGCATCTTTTTTAGTTTTAAATCAGTTGAAATAAAATATTTTCTCGATTTTTTGACTAAAATGTTGTGAATTTTCATTATTCTGGACTGTCCCTATTTTAGAGTTGCTAATCCATTTTAAGATTGAAACTAAAAATTAAAAAAATAATCTTTAAATTTAATGGATTAGCAATATTTTTCAACATTTTAATTATTTTTTAATCAAAATTTTTATTTCTTTCCCCTTCCCTACTTATATAAATATTGTAAAAAAGAATTTTTGGTAAGGGTGATTTGAATAAGATAATAAAATCATATTTTTACTGTTTGAAGGAAAATCAATTTTTTTAAATTGACATTTAAATTCTTGTGATTGTAACTTTTAATATATTTTAGACGTTTTTTCCTCTTATTATTATGAATCTAAAAAAATTTTTTTTTATTAATCATATAAATATTCAACATATTCTATGCTTACAATTAAAAATAATAAAATCTTGATTTTATAAAAATTTTTTATGGTTAATTAACTCGAATTTGGGAACTTGATAAAATTTTTTGCCTTTTGGTCAACCTAACGTTCCTTAATACAAATTTTAGTCTATACGTATAACCGACATCATTTTTAATTAATCTTCTGCTGAATTATCTTTATAGAGGTATAAAGCACCATGTATAACAACAAATGATGATGTAAAACTCACAGAGGACGTTGAATGAATTAACATTGGAATACATGACTGTGCAACAAAAATCGTGCAACAATCTCGCGATTTACGAAATATGTTAAATAGGTACTTATAGTGGAAATTTAGTTTTAAATTTTACAGACAAGTACTACGTATGGAATTTGTGAAGATGAAATGAAGTTGCGTTTTATTTAAAGAGGAGGGTGTTGGGGACGATCCGAAGTCCTGTGGTTACTATTTAGCGTTCAAACTCGTCAAAGACTCCATACACTTTAGGGCTAAACATACATACACTTTAAACTAAACAATTCTGTTGTTGTGGATTGGCATGGGTCTCGATTTCAGGAAATCAAAAAGAAAATGCATCTGAGATTGATACTAATTTATTCGCATATTAAAAAATTATTCCTATTTCAGTATATTGTAAATATTTAAACATTGTAAATCAGAAATTTTGTAAAACCAATATTTTTCATGGTATCTGAAATGTGGAGGAGTGTAGTGTTATTCAAATGTGTTTTTCCGGTACCGGTATTTTTGGTAAATTTTTTCGATAAATGTTTTCGGTAATACCACACAACAAGTTGTTTCCAAAAATTAAAAGAAAACTTTTTATAAATTAACATAAAAATATATTTTAAATTAAAAAAATTATTTATTTAAAATTTTCATTTTTTTAAAATCATGTGTTTAGAAGCAAAGGGCATTATGAAATTTTGACATGTGAATTTTAGCTTCTTTGTGTTGTAATTTTTAATTTTTTTTTAAATTTTTAAAAAATACGAGGATAAGGGGTGGTGATCAGCGAAACGTTTTGCACGTGTTGTATGTATTTTAATGTGCATATCTTTATAAGGGATAGGAATACAAACTACAAAATACTTTTTTTTTAATTAGATAAAAAATCGACAATGTGATTTCGAAAGAGATTCGTCAACATGTTTGATGTTTTTTATTTTTGAAATTTTAATCTTACACTCAGAGTCTGTAAGGGGCTCAAACCGTGAATCAGTTAAAAAATTTGAATTTAGCGTGAAATTCGGAAAAAGAAATGTATGGGTCAGCTTTGTTTTTTCTGTGTTATAGCAGAGTTTTCGGTCCAGCCTCAATTATCCGAAACCTAGACCTTTATATTTTATATGTAGGACCAGGATACTTAAAATCTTTTTAATCCGAATGGATCCCTTGATATCCATTTTATCTCTCGGATAAAAAAATAAACGTCATATAAACTAAATTTATTTTGATAGTTAAAAGTTTCATGCAGAGGCTACCCGACACTTGAGGATATGACTTTTGAGGACCCGACACTTGAGGACCGACTTTTGAGGACGCGACCTTTGAGGACGCGACTTTTGAGGATGCGACTCTTGAGGACGCGACCTATGAGGATGCGACCTTTGAGGATGCGACTTTTGAGGATCAGACATTTGAGGATACTCTAATGTCAAAAAAAATTAAAAAAATAAATAATGTTAATTTTATGTTTAAAAAATTTAAATTTTATTATTTTATGGCTTGCTCAAGGCCTAACGAGCAAATAGTGATCATTGTTAAATATAATCATTCAGTTTTCGAAGTAGTTGAAATTTTGAAAATTAGATGAAAATTTTGATGAATGGTTGTCGGTTCCTAGAAATTCTTCGGATATCTGAAACCGAACCAAAGAACATAACCGAAGATTTTCGGATATCCGGGACCGAACCAAAAAAATTTTCGAGGGTTAAGGAGTTATTAAAGATTATTGGAGATGTAAAAGTGAATTTGTTGGAAATAAGAGGTTTGTTATCGGGGAAAAAAAGGTCCGGATTGATCAAGGGGAATTTAAGTGTTACCAAAGGAGGTTAACCTATTGATCTTTCGATATTACGCCCAAATAAGGATATCAGCGGATTCGAATGATATCGGAATATACTCGATGTCTGGAAGGATATAGGATTAATAAAGTTTTGGAAGGCTATGGGACCAGATCTCTTCTTTTTTGACATCGCAGGCGAAATTTTTACAATTTCTGAAGGCCAGGTGAGAAATACCAAGTTTTGTAAGGCCAAATAACAAATATCCAAATCCCTGATATATCCTTACCACTTAATACCCCGATATCAGGCCCAACTCCCTTTATATTCATTTTGACCCTTGAAATTTCCCGATATCACTGAAATTATTACATTTAACAATGATCACTATTTGCTCGTTAGGCCTTGAGCAAGCCATAAAATAATAAAATTTAAATTTTTTAAACATAAAATTAACATTATTTATTTTTTTAATTTTTTTTGACATTAGAGTATCCTCAAATGTCTGATCCTCAAAAGTCGCATCCTCAAAGGTCGCATCCTCATAGGTCGCGTCCTCAAGAGTCGCATCCTCAAAAGTCGTGTCCTCAAAGGTCGCGTCCTCAAAAGTCGGTCCTCAAGTGTCGGGTCCTCAAAAGTCATATCCTCATGTGTCGCGCCACGCATGCAGAGGTGGTCGGAACAGTCAGTGGTTTCGGATCGGAAGAGTAGGAAATCGGAACTGGCTTAAAAGTCTGAACTCTCAAATCGGGAATAAAATTTTTGCTTTCAAAACTGAATTAATATATAAAATTATAAAGTGGCAAATTATGTTGCCTTCTTGAGTGTAATTTGATGCCTTCCAAAATTCTGAAAATTTAAGCTGCAACTCAAAAGTCAAATTTGAAAGGATTAAAAGAGGTATTGTGCGATTTGGGTGACCGAAATTTGATGAAAACCATTATCTCTCACCTCTCAATCAGGTGTTTTAGAGGTGATGGATTTAGATAAATCGGATTTTTAAATTCTCTCGACTGTCCAAAATTCTGGAAATTTTCGCCAAAAAAAAGTTGTATTTCATTCTCACTTTTATGTTTGCTATAGTAATATTAGAGAAATAAGGGTTCAAGAGTGTAAGGGGAATATCAGGAATTTGGATATCTATGGAATTGATAGACGTTGATATAAAAACGGGTTTGATAGGAGGAACGCTTTTTTGAGATCGTCTCTTTCGCCCACCCCTGTTCAAGATACGGATCTAAAGTTTTTCTGAGCCGCACCTTGATTGAAGATGATCACTCTTTTTTGGATATCAAATACAATTTTCACGAGTCGGATGATTTTGGAGTCAAAAAAAGAACGGGGTTTGAGTAACCCTACCAATTCCTGTTGTGCTGCAGACTCACAATTAAAAAAATTCTTTTTTTTTCATTTTTTACTTGTTTTCAAAAATTAAAAGAAAACTTTTTATAAATTAATATAAAAATATATTTTAAATAAAAAAAATTATTTATTTAAAATTTTAATTTTTTAAAATCATGTGTTTGAGAAGCAAAGGGCATTATGAAATTTTGACATGTGAATTTTAGCTTCTTTGTGTTGTAATTTTTAATTTTTTTTTAAATTTTTAAAAAACACGAGGATAAGGGGTGGTGATAAGTGAAACGTTTTGCACGTGTTGTATGCTTAATAGTGTGTATATCTTTATAAGGGGAAGGGATACAAACTACAAAATACTTTTTCTTAATTAGATAAAAAATCGACAATGCGATTTCGAAAGATAATAGTGAGAGGGAAGAGGGCAAAATTGTGACTTTATTATTGACAAAATTTTAAATTTTTCGATGTCAATTATTTTTCTTTATTTCTATGCCCTTCAATCTGTCACCAACTTCCCCTATTAAATTAATATGGGCGGAGTCATTAAAAGTTACATATGCGCGGAATCTGATGTAAATAAATACGGAGAATTTTTCTCGATTTAATCATTCTTTTAATTATTTTTATTTATTTTATAAAATATTTTATTTTTCATTGTATTTTTCAATAAAATTGTATTTTTCAATCATCCTACAAAGGACCATTAAACTAGAGGTGGTCATTCAATTGAAAGGGCCATTGTATTTTTCGCTGAGTAAATTCTAAATTTTGAAAAAATTTTCCCCTAACACTAGTTTTAATAGTACCTACGCCCACTAGGTCTGGAACCGTTCCTTACTCTATCCTTCGAAATTTCGCAAAGTTATAGCCAATTTTTAAAAATTTCGGAAAAACAAATAACTTTTCGAAATTTCGAGGGGATAGGGCAAGGAATGGTCCTAGACCCAGTGGGCATAGGTCCCGACATGAATTCGGAACCATAGCCCAACTTTGCAATACTATGAAAAATCAAAATTTTTGCTGATTGGACGCATAAAAGTTCATTGGACGCATAAACTAGACCAGCGCCAAAATTTAGCATAAAAAGGGGGTTATTAAAGGGGGTTATTCAACTGAGAAGACCATTAAAAGGATTATTAAGGACCATTAAGGACCATTAATCATTCAACTGAGATGACCATTTTCAATCATTCTCCAAAGGGCCTTCAACTACAGGGGGCTATTCAAATAGAGGTGGCCATTCTAATAGAAATTTTACGTTATCTCCCTTTTCAATGTTAAATTTTATTTCTTAAAAATATTTAAAAATTTATGTTATTTCATTATAATAAATACTATATTTTTAAATTAATTTAATAATAAGAAAAAATAAATTTTAGAAAAAAAAACAAAAAAAACTGAAAAAAATGCGCCTATTGTTTTTAGGCGCCTTTGCCTTGCTTATAGCAAAGGGGTTACAAAAAGGTGAAGATTTGGGGTTATCTGAGCATGCTTCCAAAGTTTTGCCAGGAGACTCGAATTTCTTTTTGGAACCGAATGATGTTGGTAAAGATGGATGCACAAAGGAACTTTACAAGCCGGAATTCCAGTTACCTCTGCCGCGTGTATATAATGGAGTTCATAATTGTAATATTTAAAAAAAATTTTTTGTTATTTTTGGAAATTAATAATTATATAAAAATATATTAATAAGGGGCGGTATTTAATATTATATTATTTAATTATCGAACACAAAAAATTAAATATTTTTTTGACTCCAACAGGTGTAGTGAATGTTTAGGCCAAACCTTTTCTTTTTTTAGCGTCTCAGGCGAAAATTTTGAGATTTTTAGTCAGGCGAGAATTTTGAGAATTTTTAGTCTAAATGACATTTTATTCTAAAAACTACAAAAAATAAAAAAAATCCTCTTAATCCTCATAAACTTCAAAGAAATCTGAAACCCGTATTTTTCAAAATAATCCTCACCGACCTATCAGAAACCACAAAATGAGGAGAAATCAGCGATTATCGAAAACCTGAACTAATTTTTTTCTCAAAAAAAATTTTTACATTTTTTTTTGGATTTTATTATGTACAACTTTGAGTTGGATTTGAATGAAAAATCGCAGTTTCGTTTAAAATAATCTGATTTTTTAAAATAATTTAGAAACTTGTTTAATCAGTTTAATTTAAGCCCTCGAATACAATAGAGCTACGGGTACTGAGGAGGAATTTAAAAGAGTGTTGGAATGGCAGGAAAAATTTTTTAAAGCGTTTTTTGGTGAAGAGAAGTATGAAGCTTACGTAAAATTGAGTGGGGATAAAGATAAATATGATCAGTTAGTGAAGTTTGTAAAACCATACGCAAGAAAACTGAAAGATATATTAAAAGCGGCAGAAGACAATGCTTCTGCGATATTGAAATATATATTTTTTGAAGAGTTAACAGAAGTAAAACCGGAGGATGTTAAAGACGCATTGGGAAATTCGGTGAAGGCTTTGTCTGATGAATTGCCAAAACTACTAATTAAAGAAAAATTTGAGAAGGTTCTTAAAGATGAATCTAAAGATAATGTGAAGGATGTTGCGAATGTTGAGAATGTTGTGAAATTGTCAAAAAAAATTAAAAATGTATTGGGCATACAACAACAAACAAATTTGTCAGATGGAGATGTTATAAAATATTTGAAGGAATTATATAAAATAGCTTATGAGATGAAAATGAAACCTGGTAAACCTGTCAAACGTCCTTGTTACATAACTGTCGGAAAAGTTTGTATAATTGACGTCTGTATGTTTTTAAATTTTATTTTTAAATATTACAAGACATAATAATTAATTGGAAAGTTTTAAAGGAAGTTTTAGTTATGTGATATAAAGGAGGGATTGAATCTTTACTTTTACATCATTATACCCTCGTTTAGGAGTATTATGTCGAAAATTTGTTTGAGTGAGAGTATCCAAAAGAAAAGTTAAAAATGTAGTAGAAAAGAGACAAAGGATACCTGGGGCTGTGCCGGGCTAGTATAATCAAATTGACGCTTTTATAATATATAAGTTTACTGCTTATACATTAAGAGGATTAAGGGGACTTTTCGCGCAAAAAGTGCCTTCTAGGCACGGATTTGGCGGCTTCTTCAAAGGAAAAATACCGCACCTCAGGCACAGGCTTTTTCAGTGGACCCCTTGCCTGTTACATTTGTGGGGGACTTACTATGTACTAACATATAATAAAGGGGAAACATACATCTTTAGCTCTAATATAAGTAGGGTTGCCAAAATGGACCGACTCGGACCGAAAGATCGAGTCATGCCTCGATGTTTGGCCCGAAAAAGTCTCGTACCGGCCCGACTCGATAAATTTGGGCCCGAAAAAGACTCGTAACGGCCCGACTCGATAAAGTTAGGCCCGAAAGTGACTCGTACCGGCCCGACTCGATAAAAACAGGCCCGAAAAAAATTGTCTCGGAAAAAGTCGGCCCGACTCGAACGAGACTCGATAATATTTTTACCAGATTTGTGGACAAAAATGGATGAAATCTGGCTCCTTGGCCTTCCAAAATTCGAAAAATTTTCGCCTGCGGCGCTGAAAAAGGAAGAAGTTTGGTCCTTAGCCTTCCGAATATCTCAAAATTTTTGCCTGCGGCGCTGAAATGAAGGATTTTTAGCTCCATACTTTGCTTCACATCTCGAACGTACTGGCTTTAATTGATAAGCTGCATTACTGGGATTTATGGGATATATTCCGCGGGATCCCGTCATAATTTGAACTTTTGAAACTCAATCAGTTTTGAGAGTCCAAAATTTTCCGCAGTCCGCAATTTTAACTTTAAAATACGCAGTCGAAATCTTCGGTCACAAGTATTCCATTTATAGCGCCGCAGGCGAAAATGGTCGAAAAAAAACTTTTTCGACCATTCTTCTACTGATTTTTCCCCCTTTCCCCTATTCCTTTAATAAAACCAAATCTAGCAATATCTCACCCCAAATCTCCGATAATTTAAATCCCCTTAATCCCTCAAATTCACTGATATTCATTTCAATTCTCTTCAGCCCTTCCTTTACCCTCCTGATCCATCGATATACCTTTTAATTCACAGATATCCCTCCAAATCCACTAATTATTTTTAAATAAATCTTTTAAAAAAAGACTCGAAAATGTCTCGGTGCCCGACTCGATAAAGTCAGGCCCGAAAGTGACTCGTACCGGCCCGACTCGATAAATTTAGGCCCGAAAAAGACTCGTACCGGCCCGACTCGATAAAGTTAGGCCCGAAAAAGACTCGTACCGGCCCGACTCGATAAAAACAAGCCCGAAAAAAAATGCCTCGACCGTCGGCCCGACTCGAAAACGGCAACCCTAAATATAAGCATCATGCACTTATTAAAAAATTTTTTAAATACAAATATTAAAAAAAATTCGATAAGTAATTATAAATTTTAAGCTAAATTTATTGTTTTTAAATGTATGTATGCTAATTATTATTTACTTTTTAGCTGAAATTTATAAGCCTTACAATTTAAAATGGGTTATCGGATATCATTTGAAAACAGGATATTTATTAACAACTTATTGGATTAAACCTGATTACGAGGATGTTAAAAAATATGCCCCATTTTGGCATACTGACAATAAAGAAGATTTTCTTGTCCACCACGATAAAGACAATCATGAAAAACGAATAATTAATCGTTGCTCATTTTTTGGGTTTGAAATTCTCATAAAATTATTATTAAAATTAATTGAGGCGTAGACTCTAAATTATAATTCTGGGGAGAGGGGGATGAAATCTGGGAGAGGGGGAGAGATCAAATACATAGAATTATTTTGGAAAAGATCCAAACCTCGGCAATACCTATCATACACAATTTAAGGTATAGTTAAGTTTGTGTTACCCCTTTTTTCTTTCGGCTGTAGTGTAGTGTACCGGAGGTAAATGTTTGGGACATGACATGTGTCATTCGATTCGACTCAACGAGCTAAGTTGAACGGTACCATTCCCAATTTCAGAAAATGATTCTGGACCGAGATATATACCAAAATCGACCTCACTCCCCCTATGGGTTTTCAATATTTCGGGACCTATACTCGGTCCAAAATCATTTCCTGAAATTAGGAGTGGTACCGTTCGACTCAGCTCGTCGAGACGAATCGAATGACAATGTCACGTCCGAACTTTTACCTCGGTACACACACTACAGCCAAAAGAAAAAAGGGGTAACACAAACAAAAAAAAAGGGGTAACACAACAAATTCTATTGTCCTAAAATTGACAATAGAAAATACGAACTATCACACACAATCCAATAATAAGCTGTTTTTCACTAATATATTTATTGGAAACACAAAAGAAAATAAAAAAATAATTATTAGAAAATACGAATTGGATGAAAATGGCTTTCCAATCAACCCAGTTGCACGTACAGGGTTTACAGGCCGTGGAGAATTGTATCAATGGGGGCCAAGTACAGGAGTTGGAGCAATTTTATACATATATACCGAAACTACTAAAGAATTTAAATTTCTTGCTGTTATGAATGGAAAGCATGAAAGATTGAAAGGTCTAAAATAATTATTAATTAAATGCTAATTGCCTAAAATTGACAATTAATAGAAATACTTAGTTTACATAGGTATTTGGAGGTTTTCTGCCATTCTTCGATAAAGTTGAGCAATTAGGCAGGAACAACTTTGCTTTTTCTCTTCCGTTTTGTATGGAAGGAAAGAAAGAATTAGACTACCTAATCATAATAAATGCTCTTCAAAAATCCTCAATTAGTCCCAACTTTTGTGGGGTGATTAATCGTTAATACGTTCTTATTTTGAAAGATAATATATTTTTGCCTTCTAACCTAAAATTAGATACCGTATAACCTGTATTAATTGCCCTCCCTCAAATAATTACACTTCCATTAATTACCACATCCAGCGATAGATTGAAACAATAATTACCACGTTCGAATTTCAAACCTCGTATAATTACCCTCCCTCGGGTAATTACTCCCTCCATCGGAAGTTATAATTAGCCAGGGTAGTTAATAAAAGTTTTACAGTACGCATACAAGTCTTAGTTTTACAGTACGCATACATACAAGAGATTTGTAATGAAAAGAAATGTTTTTATAGAGCCCTCCCAGAAAAAATCGAAAATATAACATTAGGCCATGAAATTATTTTAGAAAAATACAAAACTGACGTTCAATTTTATAAAAACGGTGAATTAATAAAGAGAATGAAAATAGAATGTGAAAAATTAAATATTTGTGAAATTATGAATTGTATTTTTTGTTTTGAACGTTTAATGAACCCGCATTGTTTCCCCGAAGTTTCCATGATATTGTTTGGGATTTTAGTTTACTTTTGTTCTAACTTAATATACATTGCCATTAAAATAATAATTTTGATTATGAAAGTGACATTCTGGGTAATAAAACATAAAATAAAATTTATTCGATTCATCGCAAGAAAAAGTAAAAGACAAGAAGAAATCAAAAGTGAAATTAAGCCAAAACAAACTAAACCACTAATAATAAAGAAAAAACGTCCGATGAAAGTGATTGTTGCTCTATTGTTTTTAATCAATTTATCTAAATGTTTTTGCCTCACTAGTTTACAAGCAACTGAAGAAAGTTGTGTTGTGAATAAACTCGGTGAAAGAAGCTGCTCGTTTGAAAAAATAATTGTTTTGACATTTAATCCCGAAGAGCAACAAATCCAAGTTTCTTTAAACGATCATACCGGAAAAATATTAGGGACTTTAACAATGGAAATTCATAAAACAAAGGCTTTTTGTACTAAAAGTTTAAAATATTTTTCCCGATTTTTCCATATGCAAGTTGAATCTTCAAAGAGATGCGCTGAAACAGGAAGCTGCTATGATTTAAAATGCAGCGAAATAAAATCTCATGAAAAATTAATTGAATTTAATGCCACGAATGATTACCCAGGAATAACACAATGTGTAGAAAGTAGCGGTGGTTGGTTTTCCGGATGTTTTTATACAACCCCGGCTTGTACTTTCTATAGATTTTATGCCACTCCTGTTGATGAAAGAATTTTGGAAATTTTTGAATGTCCTAAATGGGAGCTAGGACTAAGTATGAATTTAACTATTGACACAAACGAAGGAAAATGGGAAAGTGCCTTTAATCTAGTACCAGGAATGGCATCAAGACAAAGCAAAAATAAAATAGAAATAACGTTAAAAAGCATAACCACTCCCATACTGCCTGTTTTAAATAAAAATTTTGTATTTGATGGAAAAAAGGCAGCAATGCTAGATTATGAAATTGAAACGCAATTGCAAAAATTTAAATGCGCAAATAAATACCAAGCAGGCAATTTTAATTGCACTGTAGATCCACTTACCTGTTCGTGTCGACCAGCTGACGATAATGTAAATTGTTTATGTACAGAAATTATTAAAGATGAACAAATTTTTCAAGAATCGAGTAATCTCCCTTTCAATCATAACGGAATTTTAGTAAAAGTCGATCATGGAGAAATAACAGCTTTTCCCGATCTAACGTCAGCTGAAGTTCAGATAAAAATTGAGGGAATGATTTTAAAGACTGAAATAAGCATGAATACTTGTATAGTCCGAGCAAATTTGACAGGATGTTTTGACTGTAAAAAAGGAGCTCATGTGGACTTAGAATGTAAAACAGACTTTGGATCGACTCTTGCAAACATAATTTGCCCGTCGGCGAAAATGGCAATACCGTGCCGACCGACAGTTGAAAGAAAGATTTTGAGTATACATTTCTCCACGTCGGACATTGATGAGACGTGTGAAGTTTTTTGTGGCAGTTCACCAACAACATTTCAACTA